GGCTAGACAAGAACACAATGGGCATTCACATCAAAACCCATCTTTCATCGGAGCTGTTTTAAACCTGAAGCCAGAAGCGGCGCGAGTATATCTTCCGCCAGACGCCAACTGTGCCCTCTCCACAATGGCCCACTGCCTTCGATCACGTAACTACACCAACCTTATGGTAGGCTCAAAACAACCTACACCTGTCTGGCTTTCTCCCTCCGAGGCCGATTCGCATTGCAAGGCTGGTGCTTCAATTTGGAAATTTGCATCTACAGACGAAGGCCTAAACCCTGATGTTGTGCTGTGCGGGATTGGCACAGAGGTTACTTTCGAGGTTATTGCTGCCGCATCGTTGCTTCGAAAACTAGTCCCGGAGATTAGAGTTCGTGTTGTCAATGTGACGGATTTGATGGTACTTGGTGCGGAGAATACACACCCGCATTCCATGGGCGATCCTGCTTTCGATGCGATTTTTACAAATGATAGGAATATTCATTTCAACTACCACGGATATGTAACAGAATTGAAGGGGATTTTGTTTGGAAGGCCCAATTTGGAGAGGGTGAGTATCGAGGGATACAGAGAAGAAGGAAGCACCACTACCCCTTTTGATGTGAGTACCCTTTGTAAAAAAATAATTTTATTTCAAAATCTAATGAATACGCACCTGGGCAGATGATGTTATGCAATCACGTATCAAGATATCATGTCGCTATTCAAGCCGTCAAAGGTGCCGCCAAGTTCAACGAGAAGGTCAGTGTGAAGCTGATAGAGCTCGTAGCGGAGCTTCAACATAGCATCAAAAAACATCAGGAGTACATCCTAAAGCACCAGGAGGATCCAAAGGACACTTATGACTTACCTTGCTTTGAGTAGAATTACAGAGTTATTTTTGCATGGCGTTATGTTAAATTGATAAAATTTCATGTGTAATAACTGATATACACATATCTTGATTCTCGTACTTTTTGCGGTGCCATCTGTGAATCATGGTTTGTCACTCGCATGTGATTCCATGACAATCTAGACCTTTATGGTTCCAGACAATTGAATTGAAGAAGAAGCCTGTGATAATTGTCATGCACCCAGACCAGGGTCTTCCGCCAATCACATCGTTCGCTAAGTAATCCTTGGCCCGCCAACCGGCAATAATCTTGGCATCTACAACCCACTCCAACAACCAGTCGCCGCCCGCCCGCCATCGCCGCGACATCTTTATCAATCGCCTCTCCCCACAATCTCCCCTCCTCTCCCTGTCCGTCCGGAATTGTTCTCTCCACTCTTTCTGAAAAACTAATGATGCTTGCCACAACGCGCTCCCTTGGCCTGCGGTGTATGAATTGCCCCTCTTGTACCCCTCTCCCATCTGCTCCAGCTAACGTTTGATGCAGCCACTCCCGCGCGAACCCTTCTACCAGCGATCGCCACCCGGGCAATCTCGACCTCAAAGCCTTCAAGCGCCTCTGGACACAGTGCTACCCCGGTTGTGAGAGATGCGTCGAGCATCGACAGGAGTGGCAGACGGGAGGTGCCATTGCCAAGTCAGCAGGAGAAGAAGGGTGCTATGCAGTTTGCCTTGTTAGTATAACACTTTCTTTTTTAACTGTCGGGTCTACGCAATTGGCTGGACGGAATGGAATGCCGAGTAGGAGGTGAAAGAAGAGTGGGTGAACTGGTGTCAGGAGTTGAAGGCAGGACGATAGCATACCGGGAATTTATAGACTAATATCTATCCTCGCCTCTAGGACCACCCTCGATCAAGTCACAAACTGGGCCCGCCAAGGCTCCCTTTGGCCTATGACCTTCGGTCTCGCCTGCTGTGCCGTTGAGATGATGCACCTTTCCACCCCCCGTTACGACCAAGATCGTCTCGGTATCATTTTCCGTGCCTCCCCACGTCAATCCGATGTTATGATCGTTGCTGGAACCCTTACCAACAAGATGGCGCCTGCGCTCCGTCAGGTTTATGACCAAATGCCGGACCCGCGATGGGTTGTCTCTATGGGATCTTGTGCGAACGGAGGAGGTTACTACCACTACTCGTACTCTGTAGTTAGGGGCTGTGACAGGATTGTACCTGTGGACGTCTACGTTCCTGGATGTCCGCCCACCAGCGAGGCGCTCATGTATGGAATTTTACAACTTCAGAAGAAGATGAGACATACTAAGGTTAGCTCCTCAAACTCTCGGTGGGTGATAATACAATTACTAATGGGATATCTATCATAGATTACGAGGATGTGGTACCGTAAATAGACTAGTTGTGTTTCGTAGGGACGTTGGGTTGAAATGGAATGTTACAGGGCGAAATATAGTTATTATTCCAAGGTGTACATTGCTTCTATTATTTTGTCAATCTTTTTTTTTTATTCCACTGCTGTGTTGGACCAATGATGAAATTGTCCTGTCTTTTATGGCATAAATACCTTGGCGTTACATATATATATATTTACTCTGCCCTTAAATTCATTGATTAGAAAAAAACAGCCAGGTCTCACTCCGTGGCAAACGAGTGTGAATCATCTACCTATTCGTCAAGAGAAAGTCACAAAACGACTTGTCCGTGGAATAATACTTGAACCGCACGATCCGATCATGAATTTGTTCGTTGGTCCCCTTAGGAGGTCTACGGGAAGTGCGGATCTGAAAGTTCATGTAATATCACTCGACGTCCCTCGGTTCGGCTACGTGTTTAAGGTCCTTTGACAAGATCAAAGTCACGGTGACACCTGTCATGTCACCAACCGACCGAAACATATCAACTCTTAGGCCCCCCTCTCAACCCGTCATTCTTCTTGGCGTCCTTGAATTTTGCCTCGTTTTGATTCCGTAGACCAGTCTAGACACAGCTCAGCTGATTATCACTCGCTCGCATGAGGCTGCACTGTCCAGCCGATCGCGATCCAGCATCTAGAGTACGATTAAACTTCTGCATCGTTACTTACTGGAGTGAGTTTGCAATCCCGTTTCTCGTAATGAACACTGCGGTTGGTTGATAGATAGCAGATGTTAAGATCAGGTCCGACCAATTATGCATCATCACTGCCAACCAATCAACCAACCCACCCAGTTGACCTTCTACTGTTCAGACCTCGATCCTTCCGGAGTTGAGGGTCTGAGCACTTGACAAAAATTAGCCACCAACATACATTATGCATGCATGTTGTTAACTTGTTACCCGCCGCCGGTCATCGGTTGCTTTGCCCTGTACTGGTCGTGCTCTTCGGGAAAGAAATCGCCAGTGATGGAGGAATAAACGGCATCCCGCATTGAGATCTACGTACCCGTTTCAAGGACCCAGGACATAAGGGAAAAAGCAATTCTGCAGTAACTAGGATAAAATTAGATCCCTTATCTGATTATCTTGGTTATTTGGATCTAGAAATATAATCGCGTTAACCGCACATAGACGTTTTCTCAACGTCACTGTGGAGAGGCTGTAGATGGTTCACGTCATGAGGAATGGTTCGGGGCCGACGAAAGGCTATTGAGGCGGGCATCAGGTTGACATCATGTCCCGCGGGGTGCCAAGAAAGGCGAGTGTGTTTATCTAACAGTTTGGGTATATATTTTGAGTGTATCTTACTACGCATCGATTTCAATTTCATCTCCATCCTCATTCATGATCATTCCAGAAACACTAATTAAACTTCTTTGAATACTTCGCATAAATACTCGCAGAAAAATGGACTCCGCCACCGAAGGAAAGAACCCCGGTAACGTTATCGGAGGACACAAGGCCAACCTCCATAACCCAAGTAAGATATTAATAACGGATGCTTTTGTTACTAAGAGACTAATAAGTATATAGACACCTCCCAAAAGTCCAAGGATCATTCTAGAGATATTCTCGAAGATATCGGCAGTTCTACCAAGAGCTCCGGCGGCCGTAGCATGGCCCACGGTGATAATGACAGCAAGAATCCAGATAATGTTGCTCGAGGATATAAGGCGTACGTTCACCTTGAAGCAGTTTAGAAATCTCTCCCATGCTAATATGAGGTTATGAAGTGCCATGAGCAATCCGAACGTATCTAGCGAGGCAAAAGAGCGTGCTGGACACAAGTTGGAGGAGATGGGTGCAGACTAAGGAGCACTCGAGTAGTTATCAAACAGGTTGGAGGATCAATGCACAACATATATTGCTATGTTTTTGTTGGAAACTTTAGAAACCATTCTGTAGGATAACTCAAGAAACTCAATGCAAATAATCGAATAATCATCGGACTTATGAGTACTTGTATTATAGGGGCCAGGATAACAAAATAATGGTTGTTATGATACAGCCAATGATTATGTTTACATCCTGTGGAACATTTAAACCGGGTGAGCTTTCATGACCCAACTTACTATTATCTATGGCAGCAATACAACCTGCGTAACTACATGTAGCTAATCTTAACTGAAACTCTTAATTCTAACTGACATAAATACCGGAACATTAATGTTTATTCCTGGAATAATAAAGTTATCTACGGTCGCATTGGGCTGGTGGCACAATGCTACGACACTAGTGGCCAACTGGTTAACACCCATCATCGAGCTGTGCAACACCGAAGAATTTGTGCTACATACCGTGTTCTTTGTTTTAGTTAATCGGGTAAAGTCGGTAAAATGAATGTAACCCCGGATTATAGAGCTGTTCAGGCTATTTATCATCTACTAAGAAATTCTTCAGGGCACAATAGCTATCAAATACACTCTTCAAGCTTTCAGAAGAACAATTCGTACATAGTTACAAATTGAAATCTCAAATGCGGGGCACGCGTACGGCTGAACTCAAGAACAGATTCTTGTAATATCAGCCTAAAAATCAGGATATGGACAGTGGGGGACATTGCATCACATTCCCAGTACCTAGAATGCGGGGTCTATAAAACCAAACGTTTCATTCAAATAACGCTTCTAAAGACATCTCATCTCGACTTATCTCAAAGCCAAACCACATACTTGTGAGCTTCTCGATTTCCTGGCAAAGAACCTACATGCGTAGAACCCTTCAAAAACTTACAATGTCACCTCCATCCGTCAAGTTCATCAACCGAGGAGCAATTCTCCAAGAATTCAGAGTTGGTCCCGAAGACCGCAACATTGTTCTCGGCTTCAACACTGCTGCTGAATACCGTAACAACCCTGCTCACTTCGGTGCAACAATCGGGCGTGTAGCGAACCGCTTGAAGAATGCAGAGCTTTCATCTTTGAACGGAACTGTCTGGCCGCTTACGGCAAATGATGGACCGAATACGCTTCATGGTGGACCTGTAGGATGGGGATTGAAGGATTGGACCGGCCCCGGGCTTACAAGTAAAGGAGTAGATAGGGAAACAGTGGTGTATAAATATATTAGTCCCCACATGGACGAGAATTTCCCAGGCACAGTTGAGGTGGAAGTGGCCTACACTGCATATGAAGAGCCAAGTGCAGAGGAAGGAATTAAAATCACAGTTCTGGAGATGGATTATGAGGCCAAACTAGTCGGGGATGAGGTTGAGGAAACGGCTATCAATATGACAAATCACAGGTAATTATAACGCACCAACCATGCCGGTCATAGTTTATCACTCCAATGCTAACATGAGTTCTATGCAACAGCTACTTCAACCTTAGTGGCAGCGAAACTATCGCTGACACCCGTGCTATCCTGACAACCACTGATCACCTGCCCCTCGATTCAACCGGAATACCAGTTTCCACAGCAATCGCACCCTACCCAGGACTTACTGCGAATCAAGCTTTCACCCTCGGTCCCACAGAACCCGATGTTGATGACTGCTTCATCCTCAACACTGATCCCTCTTCGATTCCTACAGACACACGCTCCCAACCGCTTAAAACATGTGCACGTTTCTACCACCCCACATCAAAGATACACCTTGATGTTCTTTCTACGGACCCTGCATTCCAGTTCTACACCGGAAAATACATTGATGTTGAGGCCAGGGAGGATGGGTCTCCGGCGAGGGTTTCAAGGGCAGGATTTTGTGTAGAGCCAAGCAGATACGTCAATGCTGCAAACGTGGAGGAATGGAAGGGTATGACGGTCATCAAGAAGGGCCAGGTTTATGGCAGCAAGATTGTTTACAGGGCTTGGCATGGTGGAAAAGTGGAATTTTAAGTGTTCAAGTAAGCAATAGTCATTATCATTCCATTCAGGTCATTGCATCCAGGTCATCGAGTCAAGAACTATTTGAGCACCGATTTTCAATTGTGACCAAAGAGCACATAAACTATGAAATCAGGTCGATTGATATACAATCCAATAGTCATTGAGCAAACAATACAACAAACCAGTGCATGCTATGTACTCCTCCTCGCCCAGTCCCTGCTGCTGCCCAGTCTCCCTAGTTTTATCCCGGACAAAAAACCAAACGAAACACAATATCAATGACACTTTACAGAATAGGAAAGAATTCAAGGAAATTCTACGCCTGTCCTACCCGAACCATCTGATCAAATAATTGGTCAAGGGATTGAGAGATACAAGATAAATAATCAAGACAGAAACGTGTAAAAAAAAATAAAAAATACCCCCACGAAAAAGGAGAAGAATGGAGAAACTAGCGTATTGGATAGGTGTAGTTGGGGAAAATATGTCCTTGCCCGCTCCTACCAATCCCGCATTCTGACTACAAGGGAAGAGCTTGAATTAAAAATCCACCCAAAAAGAAAAAATACAGAAACGCAAGTTAAAGGGAACAGAAATAAATAAAATAAAGATGAGATCGACCAACGTATTAAGCAAGTGAAAACGATGAAATCTTAGGGGAAGATACTGGGCAAAAGAAGTAAAAGAAAATAATCCAAACCCCTGCAAAACTCCGTTGTTTTTCGTTTATATTGCTATCCAATCATGGTTCACCGATGCAGTTCATAATGTTCGTCTTTTATCGGGATTCCATCAGCCCGTTGCTCTGGGGCCAAGACTGAGATACCCGCTATTGAGAAAAAGACAGCAGTGAGTTGCTTCAGGTAAAGATTCGATCTCGCTCATGATCAAGTCTTTTACTGAGTTCCAATACTATTTCTCCTTGTCGCTGAACTATACTTGCACACGGGAACCTCTCACCAGGGCCGGTGCTAGAACCCTCACATGTCTATACCGTTCTGGTAGATTCCACGGACAACTCTGGCAGGGTTCCCTGCGACTATTGTGAATGGTGGAACATCCTGCGAAATCGAAATTTGATTAATAAGTTATTGACGACAAGCATATAAAGCATATAAAGCTTACCTTGGTTACAACGCTACCAGCGCCAACAACAGATCCTTTTCCAATAGTGATCCCGCTTCTAATAACATAGATTAGGATAGGTTCAAATAAAGTTATATACCAAGATACTCACAATACAATAGTATTTCCCCCTATCCAACAATCTTCTTCAATCATAACTGGATTTGCCACCTCCGGCCCCTGGGCTCCATTGCGCTTTCTGGGGTCTATAGGATGCGTGGCTGAAAAGATACTGACATTAGGTGATATTATAGTCCGCGCCTTTATTGTGACCTGATAAAGAATAGGTCGTCAATTAAAAGCTCGTCCAAAGCTCGTCAAAAGATATTGTGGTGAACTTACGAGACAGCTATCCAAAATTGTACAACCAAATTCAATGTGTACATCTTTCCCTAGTCGGATATTGTACCCATAGCTACAGGTAAATGGTGCGTCAATCTTCACATCGACTATATCGCACGGGGCACCTTTTTCGTTGACATATTTTGGAGGCGCCCCCTGGGTGTTTTGCATCATCACTGCCCATTTCTCTCCTGGTCGGAGTACTTCAAGTAATAGTCTTCCCGTCTCGACCTTTGAAACACCAACATTCGGATCACTTGCATTATTGAATCTAATACAAGCACCTTTGCATCTTTCACGTTCCTCGATAAGCTCAGGTGCATTAGCTTGATATAGTTCTGAACTCAGCATCTTTTCTTTTTCAGAACGTTGACGTGGAAGTGTAGAACCGCTAGCAGCAGATATCGCTGCCATCGGTATAGAAGTGTTGTGATTCGTAACTTGGGTAGGTGTCATAGATGAAGGTTGTTGCTGCTGCTGTTGTTGTTGTTGCTGCTGTTGTTGCTGCTGTTGTTGCTGCTGTTGTTGCTGCTGCTGTTGTTGTTGTTGCTGCTGCTGCTGTTGCTGTGATGCAGGCGCATATGACTGATGACTAGCTGCTGCTGTCTGCTGCTCGTTTGAATAAGAACCAACATGCTGCTGTCTTATAGACGAGATTGAGTCGTCGGGCTTAGCTTCATCAATCACAATTGTGGCAACTGAGGGGTAAGTTCTTCGAACTTCTTCTGGCCGGTGTTGAAGCTGTTTTGGAACCACACTTGAGATATGAATGGGAGTTGGTGAAGCTGATGTTGATTCGGGCTGTTCGGTCTTTGATTGAATGCTGATAGGCGTTGTCCCCGGGTTTCCACTCTTTCCCGGGGGCTTCTGCCAGTTAATCTTTCCAGAATAACCTTCACACACAAAGCCACCACGCTTGCAATTGCTGCCTATGATCGCTGCTGTCAGTCCCACAACACATAGTATAAGTTAAGTTTTTAAAAGATATGAAACGTGATGCAGCTCTGTGTATTTTGTTAGGGTATTTATGGGAGTAGGTTTGGGGAGTGGGGAGGCCGAAGCAAAACATCAACACTAAGATGTTGCGCGCCCCGGAAAAACTAATAGGAGAATTCTGAACGAACATTCTGGTTTTCCTTCATCGCATTTCTTCTTCCTTCGTCTACAGGTGATACAACCAGTTTTTGTTCGATTGCTAAACACTCTCTTCCGTTTCTTGGGATCTCCATGTGCAGTCCCAGGTGGTGGAGATCCATCTTGAGTGCCAGCTCTTGTACGACCATCATCATTACCCTTCATTTCCTCATCCACGCTGTAATTACCAGTGTGATCGTCGGGGCCCAGACTGGATTGGTTTCGGTGGTGGTTGGTATGGTGCGCATTACCCGAGTTTTCTTCTGCCATTGCTGCTTCGTGTGCAGCTAAATGATGATGTGTAACTTGTGTAGTAGGGGTAATCGCCCGCTTCTGTTGACTCGAGATTTCCGGTGATCTCTTTCGCTTTTGCGAGGTTCCCGACATCTCCACGGATCCAGAACGAACGCCTTGCCGCCACTGCTCTTCGGCCGAGTTGACCGTTGAAGCCGAACTATTGCTCACACCATCTCGAACGGGCTGGGGCTGTGGAACTATCGGTGGCAGTTGAGGTCGGTGACTCACAACAGTCAGACTTCCATTCCCATTCCCGCCTCCATTGTTAACGGCAGTAAATCTTTGCGATCTCGAATCGTCATTATCGTCAGTAGGCAACGGGTTGGCCTGGCCCCCATCATTCCGCATATCTACCATGGCGAAGAAAACAATGTCGCGGTCGCGGTTGTAGTAGGTGCTATAGCAACGAGCTAAATGTGAGGTTAAAGTGACGAGTGACGAGCAAAAATTGGTGTTGAGAAAAAGACGCGACTGAAATAGAAACCAGTAATTATCGTGCAATAGCAATCGCAAATAGACCTATAAGCCTATCGGGAAGTCGGCACTAGCAGCGTAGGCCCCAAGACGCGCAACGGGCCCAAAATTATTGAATGCAGGAATCAATGTGATGAGTGAAGGTGAGCAGTGATCGTGAAGAACCTGCAGTAGCAAGCGGAGAAAAGTGGAGGGGAAGCGGATAGAACCAAAAATGTCAGGGTGGTAGTTGGGGGAAGGGCCAGTTTTTAGTGGGTTGATTAACTAATAGATTGATTTGCTGGGAGCCTGACCGAGTGTTGGATGCAGTGAACGTTTGAGATTGACAGATTGATTGATTCTGGGGCAGAAACGCAGTGAATCGATGATTGTGGAAGAAGGAGGGGGGGGGGGGGGGGTGTGGTGGGAAAAAAGGGTGGTGGTGGAGGTGGTGTTAGTTGGAGTGTGAGGTGAGGGTGAGGGAAGGGCAAAAGGGAGTAGTAGGTAGGTAGGAAGAAGAAGCGGTGTAAACGCTGGTGCGGTACCGGTGCTACTGAGGGAACGACGGAAGTGTACAAAGAGCTAACGAGCAAGGGAACGGCACCCACTAACAAGCAAAAAAGCGTTCTGCAGAAAGAGCTGGCGGGAGTGATGGGATGTGATGGAATGAGCGCCCCGGGCGATTGTGCAGCGCGTGGAGTTAAGTGTGTCTGGCGCTGTTGCAGGGGTGGATAACTGGCTCCTGTTGAAGGGCCAGACAGAGTCAGCGGGTGGCATATCAGGATTGGGCTTGCAAGGATACAAAACCTGCGCAGCGCGGCGCAAGGATTCTCCTCTACTGGCGTGTGACATTCACATTGACCCGCTTCGATGCGCACATTTATTTGCGCCAAACGCGGCTGCGGACTGATTGTCCAAATCCGTGCGTCCTTCGCGCCAAATGTGGTACATACGCAAACTTCCTCCCGTTCCTGGAACCGGAACCTCACTCACTGCGTACTGACTGATTGATTGATGATGATGTGCTTATTCCTCAAGCTTCCTCCCGCGCCAGCAAATGCTTCAGGTTGCTTGTTCATCTTTTTCGCTTTAGGAATAAAAGAAAACGAGATTGAAATCTAATTTAATTTGAAATACGTGTCTCGATCAAGATATACCTGCACAAAATGATGTCCCCCCTCCCCCACCCTCGTCTCTCGCCCCTCAGAATATGTACCCTACTGCGTACGATATTATTTCCGAATCGCTATCCGTGCTACTACTGCTGCTGTTGGTGGTGGTGGTGGTAGCAGTGCTGCTGCTGGTGCACCTTCTGGCCTGGTTGCCCAGTGACGCCGGTCGCGAGATACCCATCATTCCCCCTCCTCCTCTCCTTCTTCTCCCATGCCGCTGTTCTCGCCGCGGCAGCGAGTCGGCTGCTGCCTTACTGTCTGTCGCCTGCTGTCTTCGGTTTTGGCTACCCACCCCACACGCACCCCTCATGCACTGGGGAAACCAACCAATGCCGCGTCAGCCCGATGATAAATTATGAGGAAGGTACCGCTGACCTACAAGAAGCCGCCTCTCAATCAACGACGCGATGTTGCGCTGCCGCAGGGCAGTGTTCTTATGATCTAATTCTACGTTTGAAACCCTTGCTCTATTTTCGGCGTTTGAATAACGGTAAGAGCGTGTGTTTTCAAACGAAATGAAAAGGAAAAAATGAATCCCCCCCCCCCCAAACCAATGTTAGGACTCTTCACCTCACGAGGTCAGGTAAATCACGAAGCTATCATACCTCATGCACAACCTCTGGTTCTAGGTGAATTAATTACCGAGGAGGCGAACGAGAATCAGCAGCAAATGGACGGACGCCACTCTGGACTCATACCGTTACATTGGGTAGGCGCTTATGGGTCCGGAAGGTTGTTCCCATTTCATATATATATTTTCCCCTTCTGAGCGATTGAATTTAAATATGTACAACGGGGAAATACGAAACAACCTTCACACATGAGCTGAGAACACCAACTTAGATCGGATCTCCTTCGCCATACAAGTGTTCTTGCACCTTGATCTTCCTACAAATTATCGGCACTCGTCATGTCCGTGGCTGGCCTGGCCTGGCCAGTACTGAACTGTACCTACATACTTGTAAGATCATGATGTACATACATGTACATTAGCCCGGAGTACTCGAAAGGTAGAGTAAACTCCTGACGTTTCCAAAAAGGGCTGGGTCTACATACGTGATAGTTATTTGGTAGTCAGTGTTGAGGAATATTGTTGGTTCGTCATGGCACTCTAGAGTGCCTAGATGATGTACCGTACATGGACTCTACATAATTATATATATATACTCATGCGTTTATTAAATGGTCGGAATTCTTAGTAGGGATTTGGTTGCAACGATATCCGACCATTTAATGAACGCTCGAGTATAACGTTATACGATAATCGGATTTTTCTTTTCTTTTCTGTGTATCCTTTTCCCTCAAACAGGGAACGAGGATGTGTAAAATATTATGGAGAGTGAGGAAAGAAATACCCCGAGGCAAGTAGTACTATTCAGTTCTCCTAATGGTTGTACTCCCACGTACCCGCGAAACCTTTGTTATCCCTTCAGTATTTTCCCGGCCATTGGAGGTCCTGGAACTGTAGGTATATGTACTGTACTTTACACTACCTACTCTACTCTACGAGTGCATTCCTGGACCGCCCTCGCTAGTGTCAGTTTTTGGCTCGCATACCTGTGCTCTTTTGACCTTGTAGATACGAAGGCCTGTCTGCGTTAGAAATTCTTCAGGCAACGAGCGGGTCGCTCGCTCGTGTGAAAGTTTTCCCGCCCCATCCGATTCGTGCGGGAAACCCTTGACGGAGGAGCTTCTCTCAATGGGGGAAAGCAGATAAAGGGGTCACAAACAGGCACTAAACGACACAGAGAGAGTGAGACTTCAGCTGAAAATGCAAAATCCCTCTACATTTCGATAAACCGTTTTCTTTCCCAGAAGTTTTTCGAAAATCACGAAGCGACCAAGCGAAAAGATCCGATCCGCAAGGCGAAAAAAAAAGAAGAAAAAAGAAGAAAAAAGGCCGAACCTATTCCTGAAGCAAGTTTATGCGCACAAGCGTCCTGATCTACCGGAGCATGCGCGACACCCCACTGCAAACATACCTTCGGGGGTCGGTACACCACAAATCTCCACCCTCCCCTAATAAAAATCGAACAATTATCTCGCTCAGCTGCCATATGAAGCCAGTAGAGCTAGCGTCTCACCAGGTTCGAGCCGGCGGAGAATATGAGAGACCTTCCTATCTCTTCTTTGCACGTATTCAAATCCTCCTGGATCCTCAAGGGGAAAGAGTGGAAGAAAGCAAAAAAGGTTACAAGGTACTTACCCCGCGCGTCACCACACCATACTGGCGTATGTTATCCGACCTACTACTGTTGTCTTGCGGCGCGAGATACGATGAATTTGTGATAACGCAGCGTGCGGCAAAAAGACGTCACACGCAGTCAGCGTCTCTAAGATCTGATAGGAAGTATTAGGTATTACTCCACCCTGAGTTTGGATGCACGTACCAATTATCGACCCCAGCGGGCAACAAATTACAAAATTCTTCAAGTACAGTGGCTACACTACATGATACACCAATGGTGTTTTTTGCAGTCACCAAATACTCACTTGGATGTTTACTTGCCTCTGGTTTCCGCCTTTTTTTCCCCGCCCTTTTGTTTCTGGGGAATTTTACTACTTTACATACACACGGCGCAGAATATATCTTTACCAATTTCCCAAAGAAAAGATCGCTCTGCAAGGAAATGTCTTACCCAAGGTTACCTGGGGCGCTCAGCCTTAACTACCACTGACTTGAGAACTCGAAAAGGGTCAGCTCCCATAGTAGGTACTCAATCTCAGGAATCACGCGTTTATTCACCCGACAGGAACCCGGCAGATCTTTCGGGGTTCACCCAAAAGCAGAGAGGAATTTGCAGATGACATGATTAAGATTACTGATACGAGAAGGTATCCGGCTGAATTTGCCCGCCAATACTGCGTCTGCTGAGTTACGAATGGTTTAGTGCACGATCTTGCGAAGTGCAAGCAATAGCTTCTATAAATTCTTATATACCGACACTGTCTAGCGTGGATGGATCATTAATGGAACGGCACTACAGTACCCTTACAACCATCTTGTTAATTTAAAGTACAATATGCCCAGGAACCAGGGGTCTTTTCCGTACCGTGCAAGAACTCTCCTTGACGGCGAGATTACTGACATATCCAACTGGACTCTTTTGACTCACTTTGATCATGACCAGAAAATAATGGCCATTTGAATACTACCTACATGTACATATATGCATGCATGTAACAGTCAAAATCTATAATCTACATTCCCCAGAAAATCAAGATTATGCCAATCGATATCATACCCTGATGATAGAAACTGTATATACGTATTACTAACACCACAAGCTACGGTGGGTGCTATTGAAGTTTAACTGATATCGAGAATAGTGTAGCTTTGGTCAGGGGCAGGGGAGTAGAGTAGAGTAGACTCTACATGTACCGGGTGTTGAGGGTAAGTGATCTGATAAGTGAATGCTGCGGTGAATACGTGTATTTGTCTTATCAGATTCTGATCACTTTTCGCTACACCCTAGTACTTTAGAGTACCTACATGTAGATTTACATCCCTGCACCATGCGCGTAATGTAATTGCACCTTCCTTTACTTCCGCCGCTTATTTCAAGACCCAGAGTAGTGTAAGTCGTGCTTACATTAGCGCAAGTTCTTATCCGCGTAATCAATGCATCTTTCCCTGACCGATCGTGTAAGCATGTACCCCGTACTTCACCTCTGCCAAGATCTAAAAGTAGCTCCTCATGTAGGTACCTACATACTTCTCTGCCCACTTAGAGTATCTCTGCACGTGAATATCTAAGATTTGATAGCAATTTGCTTTACCTCGAGCTTGAACTGTCAGATATAAAACATTCCAATCCACAACACCACCTCACGCGCCTGTCGTGGTAGCAGCAGTGTGCGCTTAAAGCGCGAGCACTAATGCACCGGTAACGGAACATGGCCCACCCATACATCCATACACCCACCATCCCTCCCTCCTCATCCTCCACCGCACACACAACTCCAATTTCCTTTAACTTACCGACCGGAACAAATAAGACGCAAGAGCCAACGGGTGCTCTAACAGGTAAGCCCATCGCCAGTACCACGTGGTTGATAGGTGCAGTTTCGTCGTGTTTTAGCCCTATACTAACTACCTACTACGTCAATTCTAAGCGGCTCCACACGTGGCTTGACTAGGTCTAAGGAAACTAAATTAACTCACGAGAAAACTCGCTTTCGCTTGTCCTAGCCTTTGGCAGTTAGGTCTTTTGGTATCAAACATATCGTGAACTAACCTCCTGCTCTTCTCCACCTCCCTACTACATACGTACACCTACGTGTATTCAGCAAAAGACAGGCGGAATGTCTCCATCAAAATGGGCTGTAGCTGTAGGCCAATCAAAACGGTGGCAAAGCTGACCGGGATCTGGCCGCTTTCATCTGGACCCATCAGGCTCTTTCTCTGCGATATGGCAGCTGAGTATTCGAGAGCACTGACTCCACTCCATCAAGTAAGTGGAATATGCGCGTACTCGAATAAATCAAGCCTATCAGATACCTGCTTTAAAAAAAGATAGATAGGTAATCACAAAGCTCGGTTCGACTTCTCCTTGACTGTTACCGGGTAGAAAAACCGTTGAGAGTACCATGAATGACCGTGGTTAGAGTGCTTAGACTCCTCTTCTCTAGGCGAGGTTGATCCTCAGAGTCTTCCCCATCTCTGGCCCTAGAAAAGGGGGAAAGGTGGGGGAAGCTCTTATTTTTGGTTTGCTTGGCCCCACAACTGCCGATTTTCCGTGAAGATAAACAGGGACAAAGTCGACGACGATCCAACTACGAATTCAAGATACAGGGCTCGTGAAAGTTGAAGTTCCGCTCTCAATTGGGCCTTGGTTGCACGATTGGCGCCCTACCATGTAGCCTAATTATTAAAGGCCACACATGATTAGCTATCCTCAATTCCGGACATGGGGGAAAATAATACCTAACGAGAGTAAATATAGAGTTGAAGAGTTTGATTTTGGTGTTCTAGTAACATAATATAAGCGACTGAGCCCTTTACCGGATCTATACACAAGGTTATGTGGAATGTTACTGGCTCACTTGCATTGGTCATTTACCGGCAACTCCCTTCAAAATCCCTTTATCCGGCGGCACGGCGTCTATGGGCAACACCACTCTCAGAGCAGAATGAGTTTAAAGTATGGATTGGTCACGGGCCATCCACACCTTTTTTCTTTTCTTCTTTGGGTCGGCAACCCTCAACAGTGTTTCAGAATGACCGTTGTTGTGGGTGGGTTCTTGAATATGTCAAATTCCTGCTGAATTTCAAACGGGGTTTGCTGTAATCATGGCATTGAAGGCTTCATACGAATGAAAAGGCTGCAAAAATACCTTATCCAAAATATCGGGCTGTTCTTGCTCCACAGCCACCCCACAATAATGGATTGACCGAGACCCTAATAATAAGCGAGGTTTGCTGCTGCAGAGCCGACATACGCCAGAAGCGAAGCAGGACGATACATACCTTGGCCAAGACATTTTAGTAATAATTCTGTCTATGATATGCAATCTTCTCCGGAGCAAATTACAATCCCGCGATCTATCAGTTGGACAGGGAGTTCGAGATACCCCGGTTCCCCAAAATGGAGCTGGGAGCACATCAAATGCCTGGACAATTAATAGACGATCCGTCTAGATAGCTAATCCTTACTACCATATGTCTATGATTTCTAAAGTCTGCAACGTGCAACCACGAAGAATGGAATCATCCGGGAATGGATGCACCCACCTACTTACAGCCCATGGCTCGTATCGTCCATGTACAAACATGAAGTGTTGGTCGAGAACCAACATGCCACAGGAACAAGGCGACACGAATCTGCGGACCATGATAGGTATTGAGCTGTGTCTTGATGCACATATGGCACAGATCAGTCAGAAGTAAAATGGGCGTACTGGGTAACAGATAACTAGCTATCAGCTATTATGCAGGCGGCTGTCGCGTTCTGACCCAAGCTGGGGTGAGATGCTTACCAAGTGTGTCATGTTAGGCTGAGACGCTCTAAGCGGCCCTTTATGAATAACTAAATGGTGTCTTGCGCTTGTTGTCTGTCCTGGTGACCGACAATAATTTGGTTAAACCCTCGGTGATTCCGGATCGAAAAAGAAATTATATGTATTTTCTATGATCCATCCACCGACACTAATCCAGGTAAGTTACATAGGACTTTTGTCTTGCAATGGCTTAGCTACTCCAGTGTTTTACGGGTTCTAACTTTACGCCACCAATGAGCTCACAAAACTCTGTTACAACCTGGCCCAAGGTTATCCCAAACGAACCTTCTAGAACTCTGAGTGCGCCAGCCTTATGAAGATTACTCTGCTGTAAGAAAAAGTATGTATGTGCTTCTCCATAGGAGGCACGATACACATCATTTACGCTTTGACAATGCGGTGTGCGTTGTGGAGTGGTGTGTGTTGGTCGGCTATCGATTAGTTGTTAATTTGTTTCCAACTTCCTAGTAGATGCCGCCCCACTACCAGACACGGGAGCCGCGTTACCCCGGTGCCACCCCTGTTCGTTCGTTCCGGTGTCGCGGCGAGGCCTTTCCCGCCCAACTCGTCTGGAGAAGCCTATTCGAGTAGTCAAGCGCAGGCGCAGCTCTATGGCGATATTCCTCTAACTTGGCTATTATGAAATTTGGAGACCTGAACGCCCCGTGTCACCCACTATTCACGTCTAGCGTAGTCCTAATGATCGTTCTTCAGGGCACAAACAGACAGTCCTGATGTTTTGGAAAGTGTAGGATTTACTTATAGATATATGCACATGCACCTTGGCGTATGCGGGTGTAGGTGCTCTAGAGTACTTGAATACCAAAGATGGAGCGTTCTTACTCTAGAATTAAGTACCAATGCATAGGTGGGGGAAACCGATGCACTTACGGCCGAACAATAACTGGTAAATGCCATTCTAATCCATGAACGATCGGAACAGGCAATAATTGCAACTACAGATTCGACTAATGCTGTATGGAGATCTGGGGTAGTCCTTTGGATTATTGGGTAGTGGGATGGGAAAGTGGAGGTGGTTGGCAGATACCGTGTGCGAGTCCTGAGCCATGGGAATCGTGGTGCGGCGAGTGGTTTATGCTTTCCACTCCTCTTCAGCCTGGTCATAACCCGAATCTATCATGCCTTGATTAGTTCTGTTTGCCTTACAGACATTGCAAGGCAAGGCTAGAATCGGTCTTAGTAAGCTCTACCGTGGTTGGAGAATCGGATATATGCATAGCATTCGAAGCTTCTGTAAAAAAATATCTGTGATAGGGAAAGGATCGAGCTAAGTATTTTCTCTCCACCTGGCACTACACGGAGTGGATCGTCGGGATTCGCATATCAGTGAAGACCTACAAGTACGTTACTACTAGTCCCTTACCTAGAGAATGTGTGCAAGTGAATTGCTCAGCGTGCTTGAGACATACATACATCAGATAGGAACTTCCGCGGCAGGTATGTTGAGATGGGGACACATGCATAATAACATTACTCATCTAATTGAGCCCAAATAACGTTTAATCCTAGGTATGTCATAAAGCAAAGCAGGCGTTATCATTCCAAACCATCAAGTAACGTCCCGCACAACGCTTACAGTCGCTCTTACAGTGCGTCTAATACGTAGCCACATGAATCAGATTAAGAAGCAGCCGCGGACTCAAATACTGAAAACATGATTAGTAAGACCGGCATCGAGATTGTTGACGGTAGTTTTACCTGTTAGAGATCCGGTTCGTATTGTTGGAGTGGTCACATCGTGACGTGGGCAGGAGCACCGGAGAACTCGGAAATCTACAGGGCTTAGTACCAATCATTGTGTTGCAAGCAGGCCTTTTTTTCCTAGACTAACTGAACATCAGTGTCTTATTGACTTGAAAGAGCTGCATATTACATATTACTTACAAGGTTAGGAGAAAAAAGGGCCACAGTAACTCACTGGGATCTCAATGATAACAAATTATTGGCGTGGGGTCAAGGTTGACATACCTTGCTTGCATTTGTGCTTTAGATCTAGATTCAATAGTCATATGATTATGAATTAATAAATATTCATTATGAGGGTACATATCTGGGTCGCGCTATTCGTTGGATTTAGCCTTATTGACTGCCATATATCCAGTAAATTTAATAGGGAACGCCTCTGGGGAGAAATCCGGGAAATCCGCGTGCTAGACGGGCCATATCCTGTTTCAAAAAACGATGTAGATAATGACATAACCGAGTGATAGATTGTGGATGTGACCTATGCGACTTTTTAGCGAGTGCCAATCCATGAAGAAAAATAGCTTTAATCCTAAACCGGAGTTATTAATACCCTGCATGCCTTTTGTGCTCCTCACATTGTATATTCCTCGCTCTACTTTGGGTTCTTCGCACCAATTTGAACTTGGGACAACATCGTAAACTTTCATATCACTGCATGTAGTTTTGGAAATATGTAGATCTGCTATACATGTGGCGTTCTTGAATCTGTACGTAATTGCTTAAGGTATATATCGATGATACCCCTGGTGGGCTTGAAGTTCCAGGCCTTGTTGGCCTCACAATCTTGTCGATTAGTTGGAGATATTACTATCTTTGTGGGTGGCCTCGATTCTGCGCCTCTGAGGGAATTAGATTGTGTCTATCACGTGCAAGGTGATCATAAAAGCCGGCCTTGTTAATTACGTTCCCTAATTCGCACCCAACTCATCAGTAACTAGTACCTCTAGTGCACTATATCCACTCTGCTCTTATCCATCGATATTCCTTATGCTCGCGGTGAGGAAATGCCCGCGTGTTGGACTTGATTCAGGCAAAATTAAAAGAGATTGAGGGATTCGGATTTGAGGAGTTGGTATCATGTATGTACAGTCTATCTGCGGCAGCCACTACTCTTGGCTGGTTTTAAACTTTACACGTTACCCGGATTATCATTACTTGGCTAAAGGTGGTATCGTGTACTCAAAAACAAAAATAAGCAAATTTTGGGGGCATGTTGTCGAGTACACTATGTGTTCATTTTGATTTCTTTCCAAAGTTTAGCTAGTGGATGTATTTTATTTCATTCTTCCGCTTCTTGTTTCCGAATCCAACATACAGGCGCATGTGTCCAAAACGCACGGTGCACGTGCGACCCGTGCCTAAGCATTCTCAAAGTCGAGTGATTTGTCATGAATGTTTTCATCATGTGGAATCACTCGGTAAAGATCGCCAGTCATACCTTCATTTTTTTGTTTATTACATTGTGCACTGCAGCCCAAAGGCTATGAATTTATACTACTATGGCCATGATACCCCGCTCCATGGCCATCCCCCAACTACTTCTCTATTTTCTTTCTTTTTTTTGTTCATCTGTTCGATATATATCTGACGTACGACGTACTGGTCTTGGATGTTTAATTTGAGTGGTCGAGTAGGATTTTTTTTATTCCATTAATCCCTTGCTTTTCTCTTGGAATTATTTGTTAAATAGACCTAAAAAATAGTGATCTCCTAGTTATTATATTACGATCGATATAGGGGAACGATTTCCTTAGCTGATCCCGACGTACGGGGCGGACCACAGCTAGATGGCAAGAAAAACACCGCATACCCATATCGCCGGAAGGGGAAACGCTCACACAACCGCAAACTCAAACCCGATCGATAGAAGTACATACTAACTTGAGTGTGCGACTATTATATAAAGAAACAAAAGTCGTTTGAGTTGATGACTCTTGTGTAGTATATACCTGTTCGAACCTCCTGACTCTCCCTTATGGTTTTTGTAGCTATATGTACCCCCATTACATATATGTTGTTTTGTGTCTGTACTGTTCTTTGGCTTTACCAAAGTCTTCTAGATTAATAGATGTTAGCTTTGATTCCGTTCGTATGTGTGAATCACGAGCGATCACTCGCTGATTGCGAGGTTCGATTTGTTGGCTATTTGGCTTTTCAAATGATGTCGAGCCCGTAAAGGCGAACTGTCCAGACCTATCATGTCGATACCTTGTCCTGTCGACACTTGTCCAATCTGTAACGATATAGCGAGTTAGACTCTTGATCAAGATCACTCAACTATCTCGTCCTACTTTTCAACACGATTGTTTTTATTTTTAATTGAGAGTACGAGAAATGGCTAGCAGTACACAATAAAATTCTCTATCCTATATATCCTCAATCCGTACCCGGATATGACAAGCTCCAGATACCAGACACTACACGACATTCCCACCACAGACAGAGGAGACCGCTCAGAATACTGACGTTGCGTATCCCCTAGACTCCAAGGCCAGTACAGGCGTTCAACATTTCTGCCGGCTGTTCTACGCATGCATTGAGACTCTACTTATAAAACTTTACTTTTTCAAAAGCAGACCAAAACATTTGCTACTCAAGTGGAGGCTCAGGCTACATACAGGAACTAGTCCAAGTTTTTTTTTTTACCTATTTATCTCACATCCGGGTATCTAGTACTCCCTCCAACCCCCGGCGCTGGAGCCGGCGCTGGAGCTGGAGCTGGAGCTGGAGCTGGAGCTGGCGCTGGAGCTGGAGCTGGCGCTGGAGCTGGAGCTGGAGCTGGAGCTGGCGCTGGAGCTGGAGCTGGAGCTGGAGCTGGAGCTGGAGCTGGCGCTGGAGCTGGAGCTGGAGCTGGAGCTGGAGCTGGCACCGGCCTGGAGCCTTTGGGCCTACTCAAGCAAGCCGTAATATATGTGTAAACTATAGTAAAGCACCTCGTATATTTGTAAAGGACAAAGATAACAGCCAAGAGCACAAGCCCAGAGCTCACCACGATCGCCGCTACAGCGCCTGTTTCCAGAGCCGGCTCGACTTCAACAGTACTACTATTTGAAACACACGCGTCGAAAGCCGCCCCAAAGCCTTTGTCGGCCCAGCCCTTGCGCGGCGAGCGGTTGCCGGTGAGGTTGAGCCCGGCGTTGACGATCACCTGCTGTGGCGTTTTGTAGACGGTGTTGAGTTCATATCGAGATTTCCACTGTGGAGTCGTTACTGCGTTAGCGGTGGGTGTCTTTTTGGGGTGGGGGACATGCTTACCCCGGGATTTCGCATGTTGAACACTTTTACGAGCTGGTTATCGCATGGGGCAGCTTCGTCAACGACCTCTCCCGGTGGGTAGCCTCCTACGATGAGGAGTTGTTCCCCGACTGCATGGCATGTATGGCCTCGAAGATGAGAGTTTCCGAATGGGATGGGCACCTTGGTCCAGCTTCAAAGGCGGGTTAATATCAGAACATCAGATATTCTCGTATATCACGCAAACAAAGGTCCTGTGGAGCGAGGGAGAATTACATAAATGTAGGTAGACTCAACACCCACATCTCGTCAATACCCCCCGATTCACCGTCCATTGACATGCCGCCGTGGATCCAAACTCTATAGAATCGTTAATCCCGAAACCCGGTGGTGGGGGTAGAGACCCAGCACATACTCCCACGTATTTGTTTCCTCACCATAAACTACGGCGCCGCAGAATCGAGTGCGAACGATTGGTTTTTCGCCATCAAAGAACGTCGTGCTTTGATTAAACCATATCTTTTTATCCAGATCATAAATCATGGCGTAGTTGAACACGACCTACATCACCCTGGGCGTTAGCCTCTACCCCCCAGTATATTGGGCGGATATGGGCTCGAAACTCACAGCCTCACCTGTCTTCTCACCGACACTACCATCGTCGGACAGAAACGTTCCTGCCCGAGCCCTCTCGGGAACAAACGATATGAGATAGCCTTTTCCGCAGCCAATTGGTAAATGGAGCATTCGTCCATTCCAATACCCATAGCCCTCCTCGTCACCAAAGAAGGTCTCGTTAGTCATGGTCGAGGTAGTATGATCATACACCAACATCCCCACCTGCGGTCTCGACAAGCCCATCGGTGTCTCGCTCGACGTCCGGGAATTCGTTATACCACTAAATATAACCAACCCGCCCATAAGCCCTCAAACCCAAGGCCACGCGTGCTCAGCAGCTGCCGGAACATATACATACCCACCATAGAAGCTCAAGTCATATTTCGGTATTGACACTACGGCACCCGCCAGCGCTCTCTCGACCTTCCACCCATAATCGCCAGTCACGTCTTCCCACGCCCGCTTCCCGCTGCGGACATCGAACCGCCACAATGACCAGTCCGGGATGTCCGCTTTTTCGGGGGAGTAGCTGCTCTCGTTCCATTTTGAGGCCGTATAGAAGTGCCCGCCCTGGATGTAGATCACGTCCTGGCTGCTATCGACCCACATGCCGAAGCGGTTGACGACGGGGACCTTGAGTGGTTTGCGGGTCTGGAAGGAGGGTGTCCATGTGTAGGGGTCGAATTCTTGCGTGAGATCGATGGAAAAAGTGTATGGATCTAGGGAGAAGGGGTATGGATGAGAAATGGATCAATACTAATTAGGTGAGAAGGGTGAGGATATATATACTTAAATCGAGCACCTCAACAACCTCTGCTTTCCAGATAAACTTGAATTTACTCATCCCACCCTCAATTACCAAAAGATGGTGATCATCATTCTTCAACACGGTGCCTTTCGCAATTCAAATCTTAACATAACTCCTTATTTTGTGTGTGTTGTGGGTTATGGGGTCCAAAGTATCATACTTACTCTGGTGGGAAAGCAGCGCACACCGGTTCTCGGGGGAGAAGTCGTATGTCTGTTGATCGAACGGAATATCACCGGCGCCTATCCGTTTCACGGTCTGGTTTCCTGAGGCGGCCAGGACGACGACGGCGGCGAAAAAGGGAAGAGAGGCCCACCGGAGATGCATGGTAAATGAGTGTTATATATCTCTAATTGGACTTTGGTGATATGGTCTTTGGTGTTGAAAGCACGAGACTCGAGCAAGAAGCTTGCGCGAGGAGCTCTCTAGCTAGCTAGCACGTCTCTCCTTCATCCTCTCCACGATCTATCCATTGCTTAGTTTAAGTAGGTACCTTAGCTCCCCGTACCTATGTCCCATTATCGACGCAGAAAAAGTAACGTCGACAAGAAGAGCACTCGCCCAGCTACCAATTGGTGCGCTGTACCACCCTTTGAGGCACTTCAACTCAGCACGTGCATTTGTGCCTGTGTACTCGCGGCAGGTAACAAGTACCCGAAAATGCACGTCCTAATCTGCAATTTCCATTGGAGTAGAAGTCAAAAATACACCAAAAACTTGCAGCTGCATATTCGGGTACTTCACGTCTGTCGCGAGTACCTCTTCTAGGTACTCCCTTCATGGCGTTAATTCCGGCCTAAACCGACACCCAGATCTGGTGGAAATGCACGATTTCTGCCCCCGCCAAGTCCAGTGCGGAAACGAATTTAAATGGTAATATTTCAGCCTCGTCTGCAACATGCAGTCTAGCTTGTGGTTTCTTGTCTTGTGGTACCAACTCTTGTGCAACATCGCGTGTGCTTCCACAAGGTCGACCTCTACACACAATGTATGTTTGCTTCTTGGATGGATGGAGAGGTCAGAGGGCTGTGATTTCCCTCACACGGTGCGCTCCGTTTTAGAGTACAGATGTGGGGAAACCTAATTCATGCATATGTATGCACTGCGGGGGAAATTTAAGCCGTGGGGGAGAAACATTCAGCCGCAGCACCAGCAGTAGAAGACAATACGTGAGGCAAGGGAGGGACGCGGGATGTGACATGTGTTGGTGTGCATCTCGAAATTACCTACACTAGAATGTAAGTAGGCTGGCCGGGTTCAAGAGATATAGGTAAAAGGAGGACTGACCGCGTAAGATATAATATCACCGGTTGCAATTGTGGGTGGCAGCTGGTTTCAAGGCAAGTTCAAGTTCATGAGATATGACTCGAGACTAGGGTTAGGGAATCGTGGTAGTAGTGCTAGCGCTCTGCGGACAACTCGGGAATGATCATCAATAACGACTTCTTCATATGGACGGACCGACACTTGGCAGGGCTGAACTTTAATTTACTCTGGAGCGGGTTTTATGGAGCTACATGGACCGCGTCCCTTCTTCTTTGATGATTCAGCGCTCTGAATCGCAGTTGTCTGAGGGCCCGGAGAATAGTTAATTGCGTGAGGCAAGAGGGGGTTCGTTCCCGCGTCAAGAAAGTCGAAAGACCCAGCTGCGGTCCGTCACCGCACACTCTCCTCTCACCGCTCTCTCAAAGCACTGACAGCTTGCGCAACAAGTACATATCTATTGCGTATCTACAGGTGCGACACGGCTTGATGTCTCTTCTCACCGCTACTGCACGGTATCTTACTGGTGACAGATGGTTAATTCCGAGATAACCAACGGGTCATCCCACTCCCACTTATGTAAATGTCCAGTTCAACGTATCTCTGTCATCGCAGCAGCTCATGGGCCTCAATCGGTCAAAACTGTTGTCTCTGTGATGGCCCTTGCTGTTACCGCTTTCGCTCCCAATAATTAATTATAGCCTTTGCCAAGCGCTGTGACATCACTCGCCTAATAAAGCCCTCGAAACAGAAAAGCCAAGTTTCCGCTTAGCCAGCATCACCACCCACTCCCATCCATCCATCCATCCACATCCACAGCATTCCCATCAAGCCCCCCACCACCGTCATTCGGGGAATTAGAGTGAAGAGGGAAGGATGCATGCTGATTTGTTTGCCTGATTGCTGGGGTGGGGGGCTGCCGATGACGGCCTCTTTCTTTCTCGCTTAATTAATGGGTAAAGTGTTCTTCTCTGTGCTCTCCATGACGCGCATCTTAGCATGACGACGCCAAACAAATGTTGCGCCTATCATGTTGTCCTTCTAGAAACTCGGAGAACGGGGTGTGTGAACTTGATTTTGAGTTGATGCGACAGCCAGTGACATGATGCATTGAGTGAATCCTCCTCCCTCTTGACGGATTGATCTTCTATAAAAGACCTTCCTCTGACCGCCCAAAACATATCTCCATCCAGTATACCATACTACCATACCACTACTACCATACCACTACCACAGCCAACCACTACCTCCCACTACCACAACCAAGCCAACCAAACCAACCACCCCCAAACAAACCAAAATGAGAACCTCCCACCGCCGCGCCGTCCCCGTGACAAACACACGCACAAAGCCCTCCTTCTTCTCACGCATCACTGGCCGCCGCGCCGCACCCCGTGGCACCACCACCACTACCACAACCACCACCACCCGCCGCACCCACCGCGGCGGTGCTGGCCGCACTGCGGCCCCGGTGCATCAGCAGAGACGTCGCCCAAGTATCGGTGATAAGATCAGCGGTGCGCTGATGAAGTTGAGGGGCAGCTTGACTAGACGCCCGGGAATGAAGGTATGTTGAAAAGTTTCCTAGGAGGTATTTATAGGCTGGTGGATGCTAATAGTTTGTGGTTAGGCTGCCGGGACAAGGAGAATGAGAGGGACTGATGGAAGAGGGAGCCATGCGGCGACTACGAGGACTACGAGACGGTACTAGGTCTGAGGTGTAATGATTTTTCCGGTTAAGCATTGATTAAAGGATACTTTTTCGTAATTGGGCTTGTTTGATTTCTTCTTTTTACTTTTACTTTTACCTTTACTACTACTGTTCTTCTTTCTTCTGTCTGGTCTGTACGATTAGCGCCGGTGTTGTACGAATATGATACGATTGATACCTTATGATATTAAGAAACTACATACAAATGAAACCTTCCGTCGAGGATGTTAATGACACACAAAAAAAATCATCTCATCAAAAACAAAACCGAAAAGAAAGGGCTCGATCAAAAGTCCACTAAACACTCCTAGGAACCAACTTCAGATGTAGCTCACCAGCCTTCATGCCCCTTAGCCAGAACTCTGTAATCCTCATATCTGTCTCTGGTATCTGCACAAGCTCGTAATGTCTGAACAGCAGTGCAAGCATCATCTGCATCTCCATCATTGCCAGACTACCAGAATCCGTTAGTACTCATGATCACACACTGTTGGAACGTTGGTTATGGTAACATACTTTTCGCCGATACAGATCCTCGGTCCGGACCCAAACACCGTCCACAGAGTCCTCATCTCACTCGTCTCGTTCTCCCAGCGGTCAGGGATAAACTCTTCTGGTTGCGGAAAGGCCACAGGGTCATGGGTTGAAGTATGGGACTGCGCAAAGATGTCAACCTATCATTACCCTCCTATTAGCCACATACTCCATACTGCCAATGATCATAAGCCCATGAAATTCAACCACAAACCTTTCCCGGAATAAATATCCCATCCACCACCACCCCATCATCCGGCACAACCCTCAACGCCGGCCCCGGCGCTAACGAATGCCTCCTCATCCCCTCCTTAATACACCACTTCAACAACCGACACTCCTCCACCTTCCGAAATTCCATCACCTCCCCCATCCTATACACCCCCTCCGGAAAGGCGTTAAACACCTCCTTCACAACCCTGCGATGCACATCCGGCCTCTTCAGCACCTCACACACCACAAATGCCGTACTATTCCCCGTCGTGTCCGTCCCCGCAAACACGCCCGCCAGCGCCTCCCCCTCCACCGCCGCCCTCGGCAGCCCGTACGACAGCAGCTGCGAAAGCGCATCTTTGCGTACTTGTGAGGGGTTTGCGGCACGGTTGGACAGGTATAGTGCTGTGGAGTCGGAGGTGATGCGGCAGAAGTCTTCCATGGACCGCACCCAGTCTAGGCGCTGCCAGGGGATGGATTTGAGGAGGGAGTAGATGGCATTTCCGAGGTGGAGTTGAACGAGGTTGGCGGACATAAGGTTGTCGAGGAGCTTCATTTGGTGGTCGGGGTCGGAGGCGCCTTTGTAGAAGCCGCCAAAGGAGATTTCGGCTGTGATGGGGTGGGGGTGAGGGTTAGTATTGTATGGTATGAAGGTTTGTGGGGGGTGGAGGAGGGGGAGGGGGGCTTACTGATGGCATCGAGGGCTAGGGCGCGGAAGCAGCGAACCATGGGGACTATACCGTCTGGTGAAGCTGTTCGGAGAGTTTCTAGCTTTGCGAGGTAGTTCTCAAAACATCTACGCTTGATATCAGCACTTAAATTCGCCCGGGATAAGAACGAAGACGAAATTAAGATATAAAAACTACATCTGGCGTACATGCTCAAAGAGCTATAACTAATGATTATATATACTCACTTTTTGAAGACATCTTGCATAGCAAGCACATTCCCTCTCGAGAAGACATTCCCATACGCTCTCCTCCTTTTGAGAGCATCCCCAGGCAGATGGAAGGAGGCTATATTATCTGCCTCCGGTTTACGCTGGAAGTTGAACATCGCCGTGATCTGAGGATTGCGAGTAAATGGCTTTTTCAGCGCCGTTCCGTATACCATTTTTACGCCGGCTGTGCCAGAAACGCCGACGAGGGTTGGTCCGACGCTGGGGGAGGTGTTAGCTAATACGACGTATACTATACTCACTTATAGGGATAGTGTAGCAGAGGTGTAGTTACCGAATAGTGGGTCCGTAACGTTCGTGGAGAGAGTGGATGTAGAGTGCCCGTTCGCCGCGCATAAGGTGGTCTGGACTCGTTGTTAGTATTTGCTAATGCTTAAGTTCATATATCAGCGGAACAGAAGATTACTTACATCCGTCGGGGATCTGTGTATAATGGCTCCACCATGGGCCTGGGATGTGTCTTAGTGGGCCGAAAAATCGCCATTTGATAATGTATTCCAAGAGGAATGCTATTATCGTTATTGCGATGTTTTGGGGCGTGAGATATGCTAGAACCGTAGACAGCTGTGGTACTGCCGTTCCTAGGACTAATCCCATTTTTTATATCGACCCCTCTGGACGGCCACGGGCTTATATCGTATTTGGATATGAGTAGGGATATATATAAAGATGATAATAAGCTCTCCAGCTTTCTAATAGTGGAGACCGTATGGATGTTCTCCAGAAAAGAAATTTAGAAATTACGGTTCTTCAGAGTGGGCTTTATGCCTTAAATACTCAAGAGTCTCTTTCAAGAGAGAGATCAGGAGTCTACATACCTACCTACATACCCTTAGAGTTCCCCAGGCAGGTAGATCCAATGAGAAATCCTCAAAGTTTATCTCTGAATCAGTGATACATAAAGCTACTGTGCCGGTAGAGTACATACGGCAGCTACGCGGTTTGGGCGTATCGTGGGGGCTCATGTCGATAAATGCGTTACCAGCCCGATCCTTGCCAGGTTCTACCAAGTGCAACTGTGCAAGCGCAGATAGACGACCGGTTAACCCTCGCCTAATATACAAGTTTTGTGCATGCATGCATCGCGCTTTACCAAACGTATTTATTGGTGCAGCGGAAGTTTATAGAGGTGACTCCCGATCGAAAGTCTCTGGGAATTTGATAAAAACGACGTTTTTATATGGGGAGCCCGGTAGCCGGGTTACGGCGGGGTCATAGAGTCGGTGAAGTACGGCACTGTAGTCTTTTGCTATCGAGAAGCTTAAGGGCGAAGAGCTGGCTAGCGAGCAATAATAATTTTGTTAGAGTTGATTAATGATTATTGGTATTTAGGTTTTCATATTGCACTTTGTACTCGCATGTGTGTATAAGATACTGCCTCATGTTCGTCCTATACGAGCAGCAAGTCGCACATCGTAGAGTATATTGATACGTGCTTTCTTACTTTCTCATCACACCTCATCGATCGACCATCATGAGACTCATCGCTCACACACGCCTCGGTTCTTAGACAATTAGCGCGGCACAGTGATAGACAATCCTCTGCAGAACCTATTTCTTTTGGTTAGTCATAGAGTACACAGCGACTGAGAACATGCCCTTAGAGTTTAAATGTCTAGGGATGTATAGGAGCTTCGTTATTTATATGTCTTTAGGCCATGAACCATTCGGGTAAGATATGTTATGACACCCCCGAGCCATGAGCTATCAACCATCAGTTGACATATCATCTTGAAGTTAGAGTTGATACCTGTCTTAGGATCTGTTATTCGGAGTGCAGTTTATAGGAAGAGACTGAAGAGAATCGTATTGTATGATTGTTTTACAAGAGTAGAAGGAACAAGCTCCTTTTATAGTGAACAAACACATTATAATAAAACACGTAATTATTTGAGCTGTCTTGGAACAGTAATAATGACAAGTAGCACAGAAAACAACCTTAACAGGATCAGCGTACGTCTTTCTGCAGCATCATCGGCACATCTACATAAACACCAAGAAGGAAGGTTAGTGATGCGATGCGATGCAGTCGATATCGATAGATAGTGCCCAGGCCCCGACATCCAGGATCTTACCAATGCCAGGGTTTTCCCAGACGCAGGGCAAACAAAGTTGTTTCCAGGAAATATATTTAGCCTGTCAACACCTAACCCTGATAGATCTGATAAGATAACAACTATCATCCGTCCGGCCGACTACAACCGACAACCGAGAGGTTTCCGTTCTAGCATTAGTATCACAACTAAGCACTCGTTCGATATTCCGCAACGAGAACAAACAACTTCCCCCCCACCCACCACCACCACTACTGAGGGATATGAGATATCGTACCGCACCGTCAAACGTCGACCTAGTCCACTCCCGACCCCCGCACGCAGAATAATACGCCTGCCTACTAGGAACTAGGAATCATGAAGCTCCAAACAAGGTTAATACCGGCTCTCTCAAAGCAGGTGCAGACTTTCCGCCGTCCCTGTCTCTCCCGATATATCTCAAATACCACCATCTCACAGAGGCCAAAGACAGCCCTATTCTTTCCTGGTAGGTGCCATGCTATGGTCTAGGCATTTCTTTTTCCTATTATTGTCATACAAGAGGTTTATTACTGTAGCTGTAACTAACATGCAATATGACTCAGGCCAAGGCACCCAGAAACCGGGAATGCTAACACCCCTTATTAAAACCTTCCCGCGCACTCTAAACCCACTTCTCGATGTCCTCGAAGCTACCTGCCCTGGGCTACGCAAAATTATTGCCGGTGGGCCCTGTGTTGAGCTGACTCACACCGCAAATGCACAACCTGCCATTCTAATCACCTCCATCGCAATCCTACGCGTATTGGAGCAAGAATTCGGTCTGAAAACAGCAAACTTCGACTACCTACTCGGCCATTCCCTCGGAGAGTTTTCAGCGCTGGTCGCGGCAGATGTCATCTCCCTTGAGGATGCATTAACTCTCGTACGGCGCCGCGGCGAAGAAATGGCCGCCTGCGCCGATGCCACGCCGGGTGAGCTGGGTATGTGGGCCATCATGGTAGAGCCAAACCTTATGGACGGTCTAATGAGGAAATTCCACGACTTCATCCATTCGGAGGTGCTGCCGGATGACGAATTTCTCGGGGTAGCGAACATCAACTCGTCAACACAGATTGTGCTGAGCGGGCATGTGCGTGCGGTCCAGGCGTTTCTATGCCATATGAGGAAGTTCAAAGGGAGCGACCCGCGTGCGATTAGGCTGAACGTTAGCGCACCGTTTCATTCGCATATAATGTATCCAGCGGTCAAGGTTGTTAAAAACCTTCTCGATGAGATGGAGATACGGTTAGGCTTTGAAAAGGTGGTAGCAAACGCCACGGGAAGGCCATACGAAGGTGTTGAGCCGATGAAGAGGCATTTAGCAGCACAGGCAGTGGAGACCGTTCAGTGGAAGGACAGCATTGGATACTTAGAGAGAGTACAGGGGGTAGAGAGATGGGTGGGCATTGGGCCGGGGAAGGTGGGGAAGAACTTGGTGGGGAGAGAGGTGCAGGGGGGGCCGCCAAGCGTCCTGTGCGCGACGGGGCTTGATATCAAGGAGATGGAAGAGGTTGTAAGAGCACTGGAAGACCTGTAAAACTATGGGTTAGAAGAGGGGCTTTTGTTTTTTCTTTTTCTCGAAAAACGAAAAAATCGCGCGTTCGGCTGGTTTGGGATATCTTTTTTGTTTTGTTTGTAATGCTGTCTGTACTTATGTTTGTTTAATGGCTGGGGGCTGCACTTTCTTTTCTCTTTTCTTTGCGTTTTCCGGGAGTCCTGCGGGTCTTTTTCTTTTTTTTCTTTAGGCGTTTAATTCGTTTAACAAACCTAGAGTACGAGGGGATGTTATAATGCAATTGGCTTTTTCCTTCTTTCACATGTATGCTAATCTTGTACCGTACCATACCATATGTCTCTGATTGGCGATAGCCGGTGTCAAAAAGCATTTCGATTTTTTCACAGCCGCCATATAATTGTCGACATCACCAGTAATTCAACATTACTTCATACATTCTGATTCGGTACTTATCGATTCCGGTATATAATATGACTTGGTACTTTCTGGAGCCTGATTTGGCAATAATCATGGAGTATGAAATTCTAGTTAGAAAGTAGTATTACTGCAGTAACAGGGACATTCGGGCCTGGCCAGCTTACTGGCAGCTAGTCTTCTATAATATACATGTAGGCAAAAGGTCAGGACGAAAAGAATAGGCTGCGAACGACTGTACCGTGGCCGGGGGTGTGTTTTTTTATTAAGGATCTATGCAGTACTACATTCCAACCCTAACCCACACAGAATATAATAGGTATCATGCGTCATAGGGATGACCACTGCCTGAAGCTTCGCTCCGAACATAGGATACAAAAAATATTAGGAATCCACTCAGCAGCATCCTCGGAATAGCGATTCACTTCACTAACTGTATGTTACCACAATCCTATTGTGCACGCATGTAGTAGGGCCACCCTCTCTCCCGGCAGACCCCCTGTAGGATGTAAAGTATCTGCTCATCCTCCCCTGTTTGAACCAACGGAAAAAGCAAAAAAGAGAAGCAAGCTGCACTGGCAAGGCAAGCAAGCAAACAGACAGAACAGCTCTCACTTCACCTCACGTCCTTCACGCACACACGACTGGTAGAGTGATCAGAGCTCAACACCTACCGTACTAGGTAGCTCCTTCCACCTCTGTCAGCCCTCACCTCTTGATGTTCCACTATAACCACACCTACAGCAACGTGCCCCCACAACCCTCTTCATTCCCTCGCCAGTTACCGTATGTGTCAACGACCTTGAAGATGCTTTACGACGAGATTCCCCCGCGCATTCACTTCTGCGCTATGTGTGGCGGCCCCTTGTCCGCCGATATCGACGTGAATGTCGATCGCTGCCTCAAGGATGAGAAAGAAGAGAAGTGGCACTGGGAGGGTATAAATGCTTATCGTAATAATAATGACAGCGGTACCGCTGCTTCTGACGAGGATACCATTAACAATGTCCCCAGTAAAGTACGTCCTCTCTCTCTGCTGGAAAGAGAGATTCTATTGTTTTGGAGCTGATTGGTGCTGCAGTGGTTTGAGCGATTCCGTGGGATTGTGGTAAAGAATCACAATGACTGGGCATTTAGCGCCCCGGACTTGGATTCGGACGACGAGGAGTTCAGCGAGGAGGAGGACTCGGAGATGGGAGACATCAGTGAGCATGATGGTGTTTTGGCGCCTTCTGCAACAACTGAAAACGATGGAGGCGACACGAGCAGTCCCCCACCTTCAGGATCCTTTACGCCAGTTCCTCCGAGAAGACAGCGAAATCGCCGTACATTTAGCGGCATCTCTACTCGTCTCACTGGCGTGGGGTACGTTTCTGAGTCCGAGTCCGAGTTTGGCGTCTTACCGCATCCCTATGCGGCGTCAGTCTCGCCCGACAATGATGACGGGAGCGAGGAGGAGTACCAGTTTTACACGGCGGTTAACGACAATGCTGAGAGAGGCATTGAGATGATACCAGTGCATGAACTCTGCTGGGAGATGTTTATGAAAGCCGTGCGGTATTGGTGCGAGGACGCGGGAGTCAAGCTATATGATGGGACAAAATGGTGGCTTTCGAGTGATGTGGTGTGGAGGTTTTTCACCGTAGGGTATTGGGATAGTGCGGTCGATGAGAGATTGCAGATGGTGAGGTGGGCATACGGTAAAAGAATTGTCGAGAATCATCAGATGGGCAGATGGGAGGTCAGGAAGGGTGAAGGTGTAAGTTTAATCCCCTGAGTCTACTTTGGCGTTCAGTAAAAGGTTGTGAAATGTGAAAATAGACGTTGCAACGAGGCGGTTTTTCACAGCCTTTACTGAATGCCTGAGGATTTCTACTATTTTACTAACTAGTGATATTAGTGGTGGTTAAGTGAACCCTCTGACCAACCCGTATGGCGGTGCCTTGCCCATGCTCCAAATATCGCAGTACTCCCTACACATCCCACGGCACCCTTGTCCCAGCTGACCCCCTCCTCATGCCCGCCCTCTCTTACTTCACCTATTCACTATCCCCCATTCTCTAATGACATCTTCAACACCCTCCCCGCCGATATTGCACTCCATATCTTTACCTTCCTCCCTTCCCGGGATATATGTAGCCTCCGCGTTGCCTCTCGTCCAATGTCCGCTGTGCACCTACCCCAATCCCTTTTCCGTCGCGTCCTTAACACCGAGTACCGCTTCTCAGGAAGCACCCTTGCGCCGTTTCTAAGTGGCACTACCCGCTACAGTGTCGATTGGAGGGCGGTGTTAATAAGCCTTAACAGAGCCCTTAGAATCCCGGGGCCATTCAAAAACCTAAAACGTATCTACGGGATTATAGAGTGTTTGACGGAGGAGCTCTGCGAGACTGCGCCACGAACGCTGAGAGAGCTCAGGAAGAACGAGGTGGACTGGGAAAAGTTCACGTTTACTCTCCATGACGGAGGTTTAGTCAGAGGTTACGATGTACAGGACAGCATAGCAGAAACCGCGTTATTTGGAGACAATGGCGTTACCAGGATCAATGTGTATACGAACCCCAGCACAGGGCGTATGACAGGTCTCTCGTTTCTCGGCGAAACACCTGGGTCTGAGCGCCGGTTCGGACTTGCGGCTGGGCTACACAGCGAAATCACGAACTTCGATAAGATTTTGGGGTTCATAGTAGCGCTGGGCACGGGAAGCTGCATTATGGGGATTCAGTTCCTGCTTATGATTGACGGCGCAACCGTACGCACTGAGTATTTCGGACTCCCGCCAGACTTTGAAAGTGGCGAGACTGGGGTAGGCTATTACAAACTCGTGATCCCGCGGATGTTTCGTCAAGAGCACTTAGTGGGCATTACCGGGCTATGTGATCAACATGGGATCCGGGCGATTGGGCTGCTTGCGCCACTCAAGGTCCTACAGGATGAATATCTCCCGCTGACTGATCATATGATCACGGACATGCCTTCGTCGTCTGCCGCAGTCTATGATGAGACTCCGATGGTAAGGACTTATACCGGCGGCGATGATGATCATAAACCTGTTACTGGACCCTGGCGGACTCTCGATGTGCCGGAAGGACTTATTAGCAGTGTGGGCAATGACTGCGACATTGCATTTGCAGGACGAGTAGCAGGGGATGTTGTGCCCTTTCAGGGGGTAGTAAAAGTGAGCGGATGGTGGGACGACGATGGACTCAGAGGATTACTACTCCGGCGCCATAACCAAGAGGACATCAGCATAGGAGAACAGTCCGGCGAGTTTTCCGAACATTTCCCACTAGACTTCGATAACGAAGAAATGATTGAAGGGACAATCGTCACAGGCGGCTTGCGAGAAGGAGCTACATCTATTGCGGTGAGTGATTTCTCATGTTTTGTTATCCACAAGAAACCCTAACCCTATTCCCTTCGGTTGTGAAAATGTGGAGCTAAATTATTGCCTAATGTTGTAGTTTGTAACAAATCTCGGCCGTTGCAGCGAATTCTTTGGGCCCAAGTTCATAGGTTGCCCAACCCACTTCGTACCTGGCCGTGGACCTTTAGCTCGAGTGGAGGACCGAGTGGTCAGCGCCCTCCACTATGCATACTCTAACGAAAATAAACGGTTCACTCGTCTTGGTGTCGTTGCGGCCATACCAGCGGTTAAGGCGTTTGGAAAGGGCAAAGGTAAAGAGGCAGTCGATATGGCTGCACATCGCGAACATCGCGAGTTGATGTTGAAGTCCGCACAAACGATTCTCCCCTTCGAGTCGCGCGACGCACAAGGAAACCTATGGGAGGATGTCATGCCGAGCGCCAACGAGTTTGTTATCGAGAAAGATAAGAACAGGCCAGACATGATTGACGGAGGGTGGATCACATGGTGTGGGACCGTGTGGACGCAGAAGGCACTTCGGCGGATCGAGATATGGGGCGAGGTTAGAGGTGTACGGTTCACATTTATCGACGGCACCACGAAGGGCTTTGGGCTCCTAGGAAGGGGCGATAAAGTTAAAATTTTCGAGTTCCATGAGCCTGAAGGACGATGGCTAGTTAGCTGCTCGTGGGGTAAAGTGAAGGCAAAGACTAGTTGGGCGGGAGAGCATGGTTCGAGAAAGCGGGGTGATGCGGACTATCGAGATGAAGAAGACTTGGACGATGATGATTGGGACTGTACAGAAGTTACAGAGATGAAAGTGAGTTTGACCTTGTGTTTTCTTTCGGGCGGGTTACTAAAGGGTTGATGTTGCTTCATAGTTTCGCACTCGAGTTGCGCAGGGAAATAAGCCGAAAACACTCCCGGCCGGGTACAAGATCAACCACACTGTAACCTCTATTCGTGGTTTAGCAGCAATCTTTAGCCTGCCCTATGCGCCACAGTACCTCCAGAAACTACCCAGGCCAAAGGTTGTTTATAGGTCGGGCAACAAGCACCCAACACACCCGCTCTACCCAAATAGCACAACAATTGCGACCCCGCCTATCCCATTCCTTCGAAAATACGAATACGAATTCTTTGACGGGGACAATGGTGAGAAGTTAGAGGCCATAATAGCATATATGGGCGTTGGCGCCTGGAAACCTTTCAAAGGTCTACGATTCCGCCGAGAAGGCTCCGGCTGGGGTGACGTTTTCGGCGAAGTCGGCGAAACCATGGCCATATTTGAGCTCGAGGGAGGCCGAATAGAGCGGGCATTTTACCGGATGGGACTCGGGCCCTGGCTCGACGCCGTCGCCTTTGCAACAGCCACAAAGGCAAGCCCGTACTTTGGCAAAGAGCGCCGCGGAGCCGAATACGAAATCCCCATGAACGAAAACTGGATTCCGATAGGAGTCTACAGCATCAGGACTCAGGTAACTCACGTCTTGGGGAACTATGGCCCGGAAGGTTATATTGACCACGTCAAGAATCAGTTTGGACTATTTTGTCGCGCAGCACAACCAGGAGACGAACTTATCCAGGCCACACCGCTGGGGGAGCCATCGTCGGAGCCAATCACAGAGTTTTTCCAGCCTTCTTGCTCGGAGACTGGGAGGTTATGGCGGAGCGATGTACTCTCGTTGCCGCGGAACAGCCGTATGGCACCTCTCATTAGAAGCTCTCACTTCAAGGCCGCTCTGCAGATTGAGGGAGGCAGCATTGATGAGCTCAGTGAATACGCATTCCTCGATGTTGAACATAAACGAACGTTCGCCCTCTTTGACCCGGAGAGGCTAAAAAGAATCTATGTGTCCTGGCGATATACCACGCTGCCCGTCTGCGGGAGGAAGGTCGCCGCCATCTGCCATGTCAAGTTCCGCGACTTTGAAAAAATGGACGAGATCCTGATCGGAGATCCGCCGCCGTACATGAACGCCACGCGGATCCGCTCCCTCACCCGGAACGGCGAGGACAGCGGCGCAAAGGGGTGGAAGGTCGAAAGGATTGACATCGACGGGCTCGGCGGCGAACGGATCACACAGGTGCGGTATGTGTTTAATCCCTGGCTGTGCGCGATACAATTGAAGACGAGCTTTGGGCGACATATCTTCTTGGGACTGGCTCCGGAAGACTGGGAGAATGAGCCTTACTACGATACGCATGTAGTTGATGTGCAGGATGGAGAGGAGATTACCGGGATGCATGTAGACACCACTTGGATCGTGGATAGAGCGGAGGAGAAATACTGCGATAAGATTGGGGTTATCTTCAGGCCGTGTGTTGAGGTCTGAGGGTGGAAGAGAGTACCAGGGCTTTATTGGCATCTTCTATTTTTTAGCAAGCTATAAATTACGTACCGTGTTTCCATTCTGGTTCTTTTATTTCCCTTCTTTTCTTTTTTTGATGGTTTCAAAATGGTTTGAAGGCTGGGCTTGTTTTCGTTTCTGTTAATTTTGTGCACTCTCCTATTCATCCTCATATTGGCACGGGGCACGTTTCTTCCCTGGGTGGTTCATATATTTTAGTCAGTTTCTCATGTGTGTCTCTTATCTGTGTACTAGCTACTGAAATCCACTACTAACAAACGCTACATGTATGTACTTACTTTGCTCCCCTCTTACTGTAGATATAATCCAATAATAGAACGCACTCCTACTCATGATCGATCGTGACACCTGTACGCTGAGTGCTGCTGCACAAAGAGGAGAAAAGTGAGAAGTGAGAAGTTGCTCACCTAGCGTGCCTACTAGTACTGATGATGCCTGCCTGTCCGCAACAATGCCTGCCTGTGAGGAATCTGGGGCTAGCCAGCCCTAGAGATTAACGTCTTGCCTCGGCACCACTCCCACTACTAATCCAAGCGAGTGACACCGGATGACCTTAACCTGCAGGGTCAAAGCTTCTCTTCCCAGTAAACTTGCAATTTCTGAAATTGGTCTGCTGCTCTCTCCCTTGCTTGCTGCGTGCTGAACCTTTGAAATCTGCGATGGGGGGAGGTGGGATGGGATGCTGTTACCAGTGCACGGCCTGTCTGCCGCTACCTACATGAACCGGTACTCTCGAGCAGAGTGCCTACATAGAAATTTAACATTCCTGGTCCTTTACTCAACTACCGATAAATCGCGTGGTGGGCGACAAAGACGACTCGACTTGACCCCGACAGCTCCGACTCCCGAGTTCTTGGAGCGCTCATACGAGATGACATGACGCAAGCGGCTCCTAACCTAATTCACGTACTGATTGCCTGTCTGTCGCAAACAAACAATTACCGAACAAACCACAGCAGAGTAACTAGAGCTAAGTAGGTGCTCTGTCTACATGTATACAGTCGGGCACGGCCTGTTGTGGTGACTTGCAACTGCAGTGCCATCCTTCTTGTGCAGCATTTATAATCTGCCTCTCCTCCTTCCCCCACCTCCACCTCCCAAGAACCTATGCGTCTGTCAATGTGCCGAAGAAAGCAAAAATCATTGACCAGGCCCTCGGGTTTATCAAAAAATTTACGTCACCTGCTGGATTTTTAATGCACACTTCAAATACAGGCTATGATGCCGACTCCCGAGCCCATGGAAACTCCCCCAAGGGCGGGCAGGCTGTCTAAACAAAGCCCCTGTGCCAGTAGCAGGTAACCTTTAACTTGAGCTCCACACCTTCTCCCGCGCCTACCGGGTGCTTTACCGTCCTAGTGTTTTCAGCATCTTGGGGACCATGTTGGACCCATCTTCTCGGGTCTACGGCATCAGGTGGATCATTGATAATAGGTAGGTGCTGAGAGAACTCTCATGCCTAGTTAGTTATACAACCACTACATAGACACTGGGTTTTTCCCTATAGATGACGCTCTGTCCCTTTTTTTTTGCCATCGTTTTCATATCTTGTCTGTAACTTCACCTGTCAGCTTATCCCAGCTTGTCAGTGTTATTGCTTTTTTTTTCCCTTTCAGAATACACAAACAACAATATTGCAATGCTAGAACCCAGTGATGTCTCTCTCGATATCGAAAGAGCAGAAATACAAGCCTCCTGTCAACTCCACAGCCCCTCAAACACAGATATCCCAGTAGAGCCTGACCACCCCTCCAGCGGTTCCTCGGACACACATACAAACAACGATGATGACCTGAGTAGACAATGTACGCACCGCGACATCATCCCCGGGCCTAGGGATGAAGATTCAAACAGGATCCAGCTCGAAAGGCAGAGGACACATTTATCGATATATAGTAATACGGTGGGACGTACGGTGGATGATTATGCGGCGAAGGATGAGCTGCCTCCGTTTGGTGGTGGGAAGGAGTACCCGCCACAATTGCCGCATAGGGAGCAGTACGTGGTGGAATTTGAGGGCAGTGATGATCCAATGCATGGGCAAAATTGGCCTTTGAAAAAGAAGTACGTTTGTTGCAGTACTTGTACTGATATGTTGATATATCAATTCGTTGAGGGGGTATTAATTAGCATCACAGGATGGTTACAGCTGCAGTCTTGGGATACACCACTTTAGTTTCAGCATGGGGTAGTAGTGTATTTTCATCTGCAACGGAAGCTGTAGCAAGTTAGTATTTTTTATAATCCTCATAATGATCAAGAGGAAACAGACAGCTAAACTCTTACTTGTTGCAGTCTATTTCGGCATTAGCGCCGAAGTCGCAATTCTCGGGCTCTCATTTTATGTATATCCCCAACTGCAATCTTTAAGTTTTCTTTCGGTGTCATCAAATTCCTAACGTCACCTCACAGGTCCTTGGATTTGCCAGCGGCCCCTTAGTCTGGGCGCCCATGTCCGAACTCAAGGGCCGCCGCCTTCCTCTCATTCTCGGCATCTTCGGCTTCTCCATCTTCCAGATCGCCGTTGCCGTAGCCAAGGACGCCCAAACCGTATTAATATGCCGCTTTTGGGGTGGATTTTTTGCATCCTGTCCGTTGGCAGTCGTAGGTGCCGTATTTGCAGATATATTCACACAGGAGACCCGGGGGTCCGCTATTGCCGTGTTTAGTATGGCTGTTTTCTCGGGGCCGTTGATTGCGCCGATTGCTGGAGGCTTTATCACTGAGAGCTATTTGGGATGGAGGTGGACAGAGTACATTACAGCTATTATGTACGTGTTTATGCGTTTCGTCGAGTGCCTGGGTCGAAATTGACTGAGCTAATGCCACGATAACAGGGGCTTTGTGGCGCTATTCCTAAATATCTTCTTTTTAGAAGAGACATATCCACCAATTATCCTTGTTGCGAAGGCATCACAACTGAGAAGACTCACGAGAAATTGGGGGATACATGCAAAGCAAGAGGAGATTGAGGTCAACTTTAAAGAGTTGATATCAAAGAATTTTGGACGTCCTTTGAAGTTGCTCTTTAGTGAGCCAATTATATTCTTGCTGAGTCTTTATACTGCATTTATCTAGTAAGTGTTTGAACATTAGTTCTTGGATAATTAAAACGCTAACAATCATAAGTGGTATATTATATATCTTCCTTACAGCGTATCCTATAGTGTTCCGTGAAATCAGGGGTTACACCCTCGGTGTGGCTGCGCTTCCATATCTGGGGATGGTGATCGGGATGATTTTGGGAGGCCTTATGGTGATTGCATTTCAACCATGGACCAACAGGAGAATGAGAGCGAATAACAATGTGCCAATCCCAGAGGATCGATTGGTACCGGCCATCATTGGGAGTATAGTGTTTCCTATCGGATTGTTCTGGTTTTCCTGGAGGTACTTTCTTATTCTTCGTTATTATACGGTGTGTGTAGTTGGATAAAAGAATACTGACATGAAGAATAGCGGAAACTATCCTGACGTTCACTGGGTAGTACCCACTCTAGCTGGTATTCCCATCGGAATCGGCCTCATCACCATTTTCCTCCAGTCCCTCAATTATCTCATAGACGCTTACCTCATGTTGTAAGTTTCCAGCCTCTACCTACTTCAATCGAACCACTGCTAACACCCGAAATAGCGCTGCCTCCGCCATTGCTGCAAACACCTTTCTCCGCTCTGCCTTTGCAGCAGGGTTTCCGCTGTTTGGAAGACAGATGTTCCATAATCTGGGTGTCAACTGGGCAGGTTCGCTGCTAGGGTTCATTGCAATTGCGATGATACCAATACCAATTTCTTTCTTCCTATTTGGGGCGAGAATCAGAGCGAGGTCAAAATGGGCTCCGACAACGGAAGTGAACGGTAAATAATAAATGTAGGGGAGTAAGGGGGTAGTGTTTTTAAGGGTTGTTGGATGCTGTGGAGACTTGAAAAGTTGAAATGATTTAGGTTTATACTTATGTACATACTTATGTACTTGTACATACATTTAGATTATTTGTTTGTGTTCTTTAATTATTGCGATTGATCCATACATCTTAACTATATTGATTTATGGACTGCATTTAGTACAAAAAATGGAAATATAATAGATACATTATCAACAGTGATTTATAATCGACCTTAGAAGATTAATAGGTATACGTATACCACAGCTATAATATAGCAAAGTTCTCTTCATATCAAATGCAGCACTACATGTAATTCTACCTGTCTTTTTGGTGCTGTAGTGGATCAACTGAGATAAACGGCCTGTTTGCATGGGCTCTAGTTTTATCGATTATCATTAGAATCAACGGAAGTACGTGTAGATACATGTACGTAGATTGATAATGATATTTTTTTCTCTCTTATTATAATGATGATGGAATATTTCAAAGTATTGTGGGTTGACAAAGGTTCTCGTGATTTTGTGCGAAGATGGCTCATGAAACGACTATAACTCCACAACCACAAAAGATATAGAAGAGATAGTTGAATGATCAGAAAGCTGAAGATTGATAGAACATAGCTCCTGGTTATTAATCCCGATTACCGACTTTGTAAATTAGTATTTTTGGCAATTTCTGCTGAACTTTTGTCAACCCACAATACATACCACTGAATTTATTAGAATGTATTGTACTAAGATTTATATTCATACATATACGTAGTTTATACATGTATGTATATAGTTTATGTGAACACCGTAATGCTGCATCGACTTCTAGATCTGGCGACGTAATCAACATCTAGATCTAGTAAGATTCTGGCTTCTTAAACACATGCACCTACACCACCCTTACATCTATATCACTTCGTCCCATCGTTTCCAATCGCTATTCGACTCCCACAACTCGTATCAAATGAGATGGCGCCATCCGGCCCTAAAAATCTCTAAAATTCCTTTTATTTAACCCTTGTACTAGAAGGTCTCTCTCATATTGCTCATCGTGTATACATATGATAGCCTTAAGGCTAAGGCCACAAGAGCTCTAGACGATGGACCTATTATGCTTTATATTAGGAGTCATCTTTATGGACAGATTTCAATTCGCGCGACCACGGGTGCATACGATATCACTCGATTCCCTGCATCCCGAAGAACATGGTACGCCTGTACTGTACATGCACCCGGGGAGATCGCAGAAAGCTACTTACTTGAAGTAGATGATGTACGGTACATGTACCCATAAATTCAGACGTTTCAGAACACAGCCGGGTTTACATCCAGGTCACATCTTGCATGAGACACTTGGTTTTGGTACGCAGACCTGGTTCTGTTCGGAAACGTCATTAATCTACATACTAGTAGGTGAATACTCCCACCTGAAATAAGCCACAGTTGCAGCTACGTTACTGAGTCCAGCGCAAATAGGCGAAATCCTTCTTACCCTGTGTAACTTGACCATGATACCCGGGAGACACTGGAAGTGCTATGTTTCGCAGTTTCTATTCGGAGAATTTTTAACCCAGTGAGGTTAATCCTTCCGTGTTAGATAAAACACAATGGTGAGCTTGTCTGATTACGTTAGTGGCAAGTAGAGCAATGTAGGTACTACTCTAACTTACTAATTAAGGCTAGGGGTTGATTGCCAGTGCAGGTCTCGGAATAACTGTGGGTTTGCGGTCATCTCAGCCCAACGCATAGTCCATATTTCTCGCTCGGGATTCTAGATAAAAGCTGTTTTGATATCGTTCTCGGATTTTTTCTCAAGAGTCCTAGAGCAGCGCTAGCTTCAAAGCAAGGGAGCTCGAAATGTACTAGGTACGTACCAAGTAATCCTTATTATTATACGTTCGTCTTCTAAATCTATAGGCTACAATAATACTCGTAAGTCTCTGTCGTTTCTACTCATGGTGCCAGAATTAAATTGCCGCTTACTTAGGCAAAATCCGCTGAAAAGGACTTATGATTGGTTTAAAACATGAGAAATATTATGTGAGCGGCAATTTAATGTTGGCGAAGTGAGTACAAGTATAGACTAAACCTTTGAAACGGTTCCCTAGTGCTTAGGCCCTGGAAACCTGAAGGATATCAATTGTTTTAAATAACTAATAATATAATGGGATACGGAGAATTAGATATAAATCGAGCTAGCTTTCTCCATATAGCTATAGTGATATTCACCGGAAGATATTTGATCGATTTTGAATGAGATCTTATCCAAATGACTTTAGAACTGCTCTAGTGGTCATGGCAATAACAGCTTGTGGAGTCGCAGTCAAAAATTTCGGACGATAATCGTAATAGGCATGCATACGTACATACATACGTACGTGTGCAAAAATTCACTCAGTTCTTACTACAATGGCTCTCATGGACATACTTAAAACTAAACATGTGGATCCGAGTCAGATCATGAACTATCATTCGCTCAGTAAGTACGTCTTCAATCAGTGAACGGCAAATCACGCCAAATTCCATAATCGAGGCATAACCAAATCCTCAGTGCGTTCTGCTACATGTGAAGACGACGTAGTACATACTCGTGTCACCATTTGAGTCCCTGTGTTTGTATTTTCTGTTTTCGCCCTCCAGCCAAAATCCAACATCGCTTATGTTGGACCAATCGGGGAATAAAAGGTACCAATGAGTTTTGATATAGGGGCCGAGTCGCGATCGTGGATATGATTGCAGAGTTGAGTGCCAGTAAGCTTAGTACGACTACTATGATCTAGAAAGTTTCTCGTTCTCCTAGATTTTTTTTCTGGCACAGTACGCGAAAGACGAGAACGGCGCCTACCGGGAAAATGTTTCAGATGCCCAGACTTCATGGGTTGAGATATTGCCACTGAAAAAACCAGTCTCTCGGGCCGGTGGGATCTCGGTAGACAGAGACGGCAAAACAGAACCCAGTCTCGATCCACCAAAATGATCTTCCTGTGTGTGGGGGTGGGGGTGGTAGGATTTTGACCGCTGTTGCAGTTTGTCCACCAGACAGCTTCAAGGCTTTTGTGGCACAAAAAGCAATGTCTCACTCCCATGTTCTAGACTTTCTGCTCATGCTGCACCCTTTTGGTATCACCACCATCACTCTATTTATTTCCTTTTTTCTTTGCTCGAGTTTCTGATGATATGATGGGCCGATATGTCTTAAACTTAATTAAGACTTGCCACCAATTTATGGCGCAATACTTCACTTTCATTCGATTCGTGATTCTGAAAAGTAAAGAAAAAAGAAAAGAAAAATAGGGAAAGAAGAAAAATCCACAGGCATCAGCATTTACACTTTAGAATCCGTTCAATTTTTCCTCCTTTGGGTGCAAAAAACCAGTATCGAGCGGTGGCGCATATGCTGTGAGGAGATTGCTGGTAGCTGCACAATGACACATGCAGACATTCATTGCTGGGTACTTCAGTTAAGTACTAGTACGTTACGCACTTTGACACCGCTTTGAGGTGGGTGCAGTTATTCCTGTATCATTATATAAACAATACAAGTTAATTGAGAGGTCACCCAAATTCATCTAGGCTCAAAACTACACCTTCAGGAGAAAAATAGCGCCGGTTATATGTAATCGAGTCGCGAACCATGGGCCAGTAGGAGTGATCCGAAATCGTGACATGTCTTGGATGTAGAGCTAATTGGAATTAATTTCAAATTGGTAGCTTGATACACCTACCGCCAAATCTCGAGTTATTCGGAGGGTTGCCAAGGCCACCTGCTAAACCACATTTAGTTTAGATCCTGCAGAAGAGGGCTGTTTTCTTGAAGATCGCTTCCTTTTAAAGTGAAGATTCTCAGCGTTTTGCCTTGGCAACCCTCCGAATAACTCGAGATTTGGCGGTACGTCTATCACTATGATCTACCCTACTCTCGATTGGTGATTCAGAACTACTCTACATGATGTGAGTCAAGAGTGTCTCAGGGTTTTGTAGGTACCACTTGATCCACAAGCGTTTATACCGACAATTAAGGAGGACAAGCGCCTGCCGTCGGCCTGCCCACATGAACTTGTAGGAGACCTCCCTAGATCCGACAATGTCATCATTGGACCCCTTAGCTTCTTGATTGAGGAACATCTTTCTAGTCCAAATGGACTCACGATCACCAGCTAGGTATTCATATGTTCTATTTTATGCAAATCCGAGTGATCCAAACAAAAGAAGATACGCGGAAGAACACGAGGCATACCTTACATTTCTCACTATTGTGCATATAACCCTTCTTATTTGTACCAGCACTCAGCGCAAACCGACATTGCCAGCCGTCAGAATACAGATTTGTTGGCTCTTGGCAAATTCAGAAACGGGTGCATGCATGCATGCCGACATCAGATGCCAATCCTTTCTGAAGATTACTAGTGAGTAAGTCCCCCAACTGCAGCTTTGAAATTTTGTCAAAAATCCCCACCTAAATGATAACAAACTAAGGAAAGAAATGAAGTGTAATAACCCTAGGAACAGCCCTATAGAAAATAAAGAAAAACATTATGCAAAGATAAGATCCTGGAAACCAAAACGCCGGATAATAATATACAAGTTCAATGAGATGTGGATGGTGCAATTGAAAGTTGATTTGTAAAATGGAAAAGGAGAAGAGAAACTTGTGAAATTATGCAGGAGTGGTGGGGGCATCCCGGCTATTAGAGGTTCGGTTCGAGCCCGATGAAAGATGGGACGACTGTGAGTGATTTGATGACTCGTCTTCAGCTTTGCTCCTTTTTGCTTTTCGTTTGTTTCCATTATTATTCCATGGAGTATTTGTTGTTGTTGTACTGGTAGTATCTGTATTCTGTGCTGCGGAAGAATCAGCAGGGAGCAGAAACCTCCAATCCCATGAACGAGCAATCCAATCCTTATGATCTACTCCTCCACATGGCTCCCTCAAGATTCCCAGAAGGTCGTCGGTGGTGTTTAAAGCTTGTCCAAGGGACCACTTATTCGCCCATTGATTATCCAGTGCCAACCATGCCTGCGGGGAAGCCTGGTCCGGGGGTAAAATTCGTCTCAACTGGGAATCGGAAGGTATCGGAGGTTTTAAAGCCATCCAGAATGGTATCAAGGTCTCCAAGTATTGTTTACAGGTTTGGTGATCCAGCCGTGGACTTAATTTGAGTGTGTTGATACATTTTGGAATGATATCGGCGATGTCGTCGATAATAGGAGGTTCTGTAACAGGCCGCAGGGAGATATCAAGAAAAACTATAACACATGCTGTGAAAGCAGAACTTCTGTATTCCAGTTAGGGATGATTCAAGATACAACGTAGCAGGAGGGTGATGGGGAAAACGTACATAGTAAGCCATCCCTTAGTTAGCTGTTTATCCCCTTCAAACAACATGTCAAGAACTTTGCATAATCCCCTCGCAGCGCTTATACATTTGTTGGCATAAAAAACTTCTAGTGACCCATTTTCCTGCGGACACTTCGATCGAGTCGCGGTATTGGCCACTTTAAGCAAGACACGACGGGTGAGGATAATAATAGATCTCAAGTATGCGCAGTAGGCCTGAAGCATAACAGCTTTCTGCATTTGTGGGATCGAGTGATCAAGTATGACCAAGTGAAGAGCGAGTGGGCTAGGCAGGCAACTATACCAAGCCTGAAGCTTATCCATGTGAGTTTTAATGGTGGCAAAATTGAACGAGTGTTGTGAAAGACTATCGTCTTTAGCAATATCGCTCAAAAGCCTAGCAACATTTTCGAATTCGCTTCTAATACGATCTCCCGTCATACGTCGATTTTGTTCACTAGAAATAGTCTAAGGAGATCGAGATCAGCTATATGTATAAAAGTGGGGATACTATTTGAATAAGTACCTGCAGTGATTCGTCGGAGTTCTGGGGATCGCTCCTTCTCGAGGCATTCTCGGTATAACTTCCACTACTATCATCTCCACTTGAATTATAGGGATCTGTGAATTGATGCTGCTGTTTCTGCTGATTTGGATAATCAATAACACTGTTCTGTATTATTTGATTATTTATCATATTGCTCCTCTGTGCCTGTGCTTGTTGTTCCCGATGGTTCCTCGAGTGGGTAATATCAACGATTGTGTGAACATATCCGTATACATTCACCGTGAACTCTGCAGACACCCAGCGAACATCCCCGTTCGGATGAACGAAGCGATAATCCTGTTTTCGCAATCTTCCATCTTCAAAGGAAAAGCACCTAGAGACACGCTCTCTGTCCAGGTGGTGTACGGCGCTTAACCAATTGCCATCTTGCCGTATCCGATAATCGTGGAGACCGGATATCTCGCAGAAACGTTCATTGAGAAAATACTGATGTCGTCCCTCAAAGGATGTCCTTCCACATATACCCACGGGGACGGAGCTATGGTGTCCATTCGGATCTGGGGGCTGCGTGTGGGTTTCAATGGCTGGTGCTGAAAAATGCTCCAAAGTTGATTGGAGTGCTGATTCCGAAATCTTGCGACGAACGACTTCTGCCTCCAAACATCTAGTTTGTTGCTGAAGCATTGCAACAATGGTATCTCGATCTTGTGAATCACCTAGAAGCGGGTATTTCTTCTCGCCGGGGACGACATGAGAATGTGACAGACATATCTGTTGGAAAACATCGCTGAGACCATCCGCCTCGAAAACAGACATATCGTATCCACACAGGAGCGACGCATCCTTCCCATTAACTGCTAAGAAACGCTCCCATACCTGCTCCAGTTCATGAGCTAGTAAGTGCGATCCACGTTCGCAGAGAATGTTGACCAATTCTCCATAAGCGAGAATCCTGGGATACTGTTTCCGAATATCCTGAAAGACCTTCCCAAAATAGCTGTCGAACGCCTGGCTATCGACTTTATCCCCGTTCAGGAGCGATGGCAATAAAGCATCCGCATCCACAAGAATCAGTTGGCCGCGCTCCTTGAGAAGCCCGGGTGCAAGATTCTGTTCCCTTAAATGAGCTTCGAGTCCATCAAGATGTTGCCGCGTAGCAATGATAACAGCTGCATTTTCTGTACTGAAAAACGAGGGTAGAATAAATTTCGAGACGGCGTCGTATAAAAAACACTCGGCTTCGTAAAACTGGATCAAGTGCGAGCAGCGCGGAAGTGCTGGAGGCGCTGCTTTCTTGCGTGATGCCTTACTACCGGCAGTACCAGGTCCTGCCATGGAGTTCCGACTATAGAACTACCCTGGTGCTAAATGAAAGGGATGAAGACAAAGTCTGCTGGATTGATCAGTAAAATTTCGGTCGGATGGATCGATGAGAGTGAAATGTAATAAAGGTGTGACTTTTCTCCCCCTCGGATTGCGTATTTTGTGTGTTGCAAGTGTATGGGTATGGGTGGACTCGATGGCGGCGATGTAGGTATGTAAGTAGGTAGACAAGCAGGCTTGGAGAGCGAAGGAGATTCTAGTAAAGGTGGTAGGTAAGGAGAGGATCCGTGCGACCAGTCTTAACATGGTATAATTATCGACATTACTTTTTGATTTATCGAATGTATGTGGGGCTTGTAATAGATAATTGGCTAGAGCGCGTTGAGACATACATGTATGTATATACATGCGCATGGAATTTTTTTGTAGAAAGTT